TCTTCCAAATGCCCAGCATGGGTATATGCCGCGAGCATCGCATTCCACGAGACCACGCACAGCTCTGGGATATTCTCAAAGACGCTCTTACAGCGCTCTAGATTCCCGGCCTGGGAGTAGGCCGACAGTAGCACATTCCAAGATACCATGTTCCTCTGTGGCATCTCGTCAAACAAGCGCCTAGATTCCTCCAGATGCCCGTTCTGGGAATATCCCGACTGGAGTGCGGTCCACGAGATCACATTCCACTCAGGCATGGCGTGGAACAATTGCCTGGCATCTTTAAGATTCCCTTCCCGGCAGAGCGCCGTGAGCATCGCATTCCACGTCACGATGTCCCAGCCGGGCATGCGGCCCATGAGCGCGGCCGCGGCGGCCAGGCTGCCGTACTCGAGTTGGGCCTGGAGGAGTACGGTCCACGAGACGAGGTCGGGCTGTTGGGGCATGGAATCGAACAGCGCAACAGCGTGGGAGAGATGCCCGTTGCGGGCATATGCCGCGAGCATCATCGCCCAGGAGAGATAGTTCCGGAGCGCGGTGGAATCGAACGCCCGCCGCGCGTGATCCACGGCGCCACACGCGCCGTACATCCGGACGATGGTGTTGGCGAGAAAGATCGGGCAATGCGAGGAGGAGCTGGGGCTAGACGCCAGCGACGCCATCGCCGAGTGGATCTCTATGGCTTGTGTCAAGCTCTGGCACGAATTCGCGAGCCTCACACAATCGTCGAGGCTTCTAATCGCCTCTTTCGTTCGCGCGCGAGGGAGAGTTCGCCCGGGACGATTGCCGCTGGGTTCGATTCCCGCCCAAATGCCTGGAGGACACATGGCGGTGGCTTACTGGGCACGAACCGTAGCATACAAATACCCTGTGAGGGCATTGCCTATCCGTGGCTGTTCCTAGGGTTTTCATGGCGATGGCGCTGGCTATGGTAACGGCGCTGCGTTTCTCTCCGGTCTAGCTGTGGCGGGCGGTGGCATTGGATGCCGGCACATAGGGGCGTCGCTTGAGCTGCTGGCCTTTTTCTTGGATTCCAGGAGCTTGCAGCTAGGGTTTCTAGGCGCCGGCCATGAGCGGGCGCACTCGCAACAAGAATTCCAAGGTGCCGAAGGGCGATCGCGGCGCCGAAATTCTCAGGTGCGCCATTGCTTTCTTGTGCTGCTCTTGTTGCTCACGAATTCTTTCTTCCCAGGAGAATCCACCTCACGAAGATTGTGACCGAGGAAGATCTCCGGTGGTTCTTTCATCTCGATCGGCCAGCCTGCCAGGGATGCCGCGGCAATACCAAGGATAATCCGCTGTGCCTCTGTGGCTTAGTTCCCCCGGCAAACGGTACGAGAAAGCATGGGCTCTGGCAGAAGCTATCGGACATCATCGACGAGCTGGGTCCGGATCCATCGAGGGAGCTGAGGGTGATGGACATTCCAGCGGGGTTGACCAATCTTGGAGCCACTTGCTACGTCAACAGCGTGCTCCAGTGTCTCTTCATGAACACCACCTTCCGGAATGGGGTCTTTTCCGCGGAGATGGAGCTGGTGAGAAACGATCCGGTGCTTCACCAGCTCGCTCGGCTCTTTGCGCAGCTCCATTCGGGAACCAAGAGCTCGGTGGACTCGGCTGCGTTTGCGACCACGCTGGAGCTGGACAACGCCGTCCAGCAGGACGGGCAGGAGTTTCTGAAGCTTCTCCTCACGCTACTGGAGCGAGTTCTTGCGCAGTCGAGAGTTCCGGAGGCGCGAGACGTGGTGCAAAACCTCTTCCGCGGGACGTTTTCATACGTTACGAAGTGCGCATTGTTTTATATCCAGGTTTATTTCTTTGTTTAGTGTAGTGCTGTAGGACGGTTTTATCACTTAGCGTTTCGTGCTATGAAGACTTACGTTCGTATCTTTCATGTTTTTCAGGTGCTCGAGCTGCGGTAAGGAGTCCGGCGCTTCGGATCAGTTCGTTGATTTCTACGAGTTAGAAGTGAACGTAAAAGGCTTCTCGAGTCTGGAAGAGTCGCTGGATGATTATCTCAACGAGGAGAAGCTTTCGGGAGAGAATCAGTACTTTTGCGAGTACTGCAAAGCTAGAGTGGATGCCACGCACAGCACAAAGCTCAGATTACTACCTCCTGTCTTGAATTTTCAGCTCAAGAGATTTGTGTTCAATCTCAAGGTATGTCGTTCTCCTTTGGTTTTATGTTCAGTGACTTATTGTTCTTCTTTACAGACTTCGACGAAGAAGAAAGTCACGTCAAAATTTATGTTTCCAAAGGTCCTGGACATGGAACGACGAGTATCGCCTGTGACATCCGATGGCTCTCCCGGCGAGCCAGCGCACTACGATCTTTTTGCGATTTTAATGCACAAGGGCAACATGGCCAGCAGTGGACACTACGTAGTACATATCAGGGACGAGAGAACGGGGCAGTGGTGGCAGTTCGACGACGAGGAGGTAACGATGCTTGGCTCCAATCCTCTGGGAGAGCCAACATCTAAACTTGATAAGGTATCTCCTGATAGGGACGACAATTTACTGATGTCTCCGGATGCTTACATGCTAATGTTTTCCCGTCGAACGAGCACGCCGAGAGTTGCCGAAGAACCAGTCAGGAGTATACCCGAGTTCTTGAAGGCAGAAGTCGATGAGCAGAATTACAGTCTTATGAGTAGCTGCGAGGTTTACAATCTCATGAAGGATGAGGAGGAACAGAGAATTGTCGAAAGAAGGGCAGAAGTTCGAGAGGTTCTGGCTAATGCACGACCGACAGCTCCAAAAGGCTTCTGGATTTCCGCAGAGTGGCTCCGCAATTGGACTGACAGCTTAAAACCACCGTAAGCCTTTCTGTCCTCGTTGGTTTTATCTTAAACGTTTTTCTGCGGGTGTTACAGATCGGCCATTGATAATAGCATCTTATTGTGCGAACACGAACGTGTTTCTCCCAAGAGTATTCAACTGATGAAATGCATATCCGATGCTGCTTGGCAGAGCTTGCATTCGAAGGTGCGTTTTCTTTTTCCTATTTGAATTTCTGACAAGGACTTTTATTTTGAGTTGCAGTATGGAGGCCAGCCAGTTGTAACCATGGAAAGCTGTTGTTTCGAATGTATTTATGCCGATGCTGCTGCTGCTGCTACGGCAGAAAGCTTTCGAAGCGGAAGAGCAGCAATGAAATTAATGGCTGAAAACGTTATGGCTGGGAAGGGCGTTGAAGGTCACTTGTTTTACGTGTCCAGATCCTGGTAACTTTCCTTTTCATTATTTCATAGCTGACTTGTTTTGTTATTAAGGCTCGTGCAATGGATGCGCAAGAAGGCTGCCCTGGACACACTAGGAGATGGTGATTTAAATCCAACAAGTGCCATAACTTGTCGTCACAATGCATTGCTTCCTGACGACGCTGCGGGTGCAAAACGGCAAGTCGTGCCTGAGGTTTTATGGTCCTACTTTTACCAAAATGCTGTTGTTGTTGGCGGAGAAGAACAACGTGGACACAAGCCGTTTCCTGTAAACACGGAGAATTGCAAGATTTGCGAAGCCGAGCACTCACACACTCTGTCCAGGCAGAACGACTTAAGGTAGCTTCCTCTCCAGAATCAGAACGAAATGCTTAATGCTATCTTTCAGAGCTACAAAGATGGAACAACGTCAGAAACAGGAGGCAATATTTTCTGGACGGAATCCCGTACTTAATCCCGGAGATGTTTATTACCTCGTTCCCTCTAGTTGGATTTCTCTCTGGCGTGCGTACATCGGAGCCAGTGGGAAAAATGTGCTAGATATCGAGGAGCCTGTGGGACTCGAAAGGTTTCTTTCGTCTCTTCTTTGCAAGGTAAATTGGACTCGATTGTCAGCATAAATTTTAACGTGATTTTGGTCAGCATGGTGGACTTCTCTATAATCCCCCAGCCTTAACAAGGACCAGGCGGGGAGAACTCGTACAAAAAGCATCTTCTGTGAGTTTTCCGTTTTTTCTTGGGGAACTTTGAGCTCTGACTTTCTGTTATCTGGTAAAGGATGACGTTCAAGTTGTGGTCTCTCGAGATGATTGGGTCTATTTTTGTCAGCAGTGGGATGCAAATGCTGGCAAGGGCATTCGAGCATATGTTGAGGAAGCACAAATGCCTGATCGTCCAGAAAAAGAATTAAGTGAACTCAAACTGCCTATTCTTAGAACAGAACCTGAGGTAATCCGTTCCAGTATTTTGCTGTCGTTACTAATGCTTTATATTACAGGTTTGCAGGGAGTGTATAGACGACCGGGAGACTACTGAACTCGTGCACAAGCTTAACTATACCAATGCAACTATCACCGTGGATCTTGTCCAAGGGAAAGAGCCACCTCCTTCTCTTGTCTTTGCGGCGGCTAACCAGGACGCCGAGAGAAGAACGTCAAAGCGTGCGCGCAGGACTGTGGCCACCGGAAACAAGCAAGTGAAGCTCACAGTTTCTGGAACCACGACGGTCTACCAGCTGAAGATGCTTATTTGGGAGTGGCTCGGGGTATGTACTGTTACTTCGTTGAGCGCGTCAGCTAAACTAACACTTTTCTTTTCCTGGATGAAGGTTGTGAAAGAAAACCAGGAAGTTCATTTTGGGAAAGTGGAGCTTACTGACGAATCGACTACACTCGCAGACGTGGGTGTTCTGCCAAATTCACAGTTGTGGGTTTCGGACAGCGGACTACACGAACATCGAGATATTGCAGGCAAGCCGATGCTTTCTTTGTTTATTTATGTCAGCCTGATTGCATCGCTATGGTTTTCGCAGACGAGCTCTCGACTCCACAGCAGGGCCACGTTGAAGAAGGTTTTAGGGGGACGCGGCTTTTAGATTCTTGCTTGCCTGGTCCAGCAAATGGATTGCACAGCTCCGAGAATCAGTTTTTGGAGCAGCCAGGGATATGCTAAAAGAGCATATAGTGTTCATACATGTAAGTAACAGTGGCTTACACCTTGTTCTTCCAGTTCTCAGGAACTATGGAATCCATCTAGTTTCGAGCTTTCTTTCTGGAGTCAGGATTTGCGATACACATTGGCAAGCATTACGTACGCTCCAGGATTACTTGGTTTTAACGAGAGAACTCTCTTTGCAGCGAGAGCGCCAAAGTGGACGTCCTTGTGGCCCTTGCAAGCGGCCAAGAGGCAAGTCCACTCCATGGCGTCCTCGACATAAGGCATGGAATCGATGAGAGCTTGGGCGTCACTCAAGTATCCCGAGCGAGCGAGAAGATCGACCATGCAAGAGTAGTGGAGCTTCCGGGGCGTCAATCCATAGTCGGAGCTCATGGAAGCCAGCAAGCTCAAGCCTCGAGAGACCTCGCCCAGGTGTCCGGTGGCGTGGAGGACCAAGAGGAAGGATACGTCGTCTGGACGCTCCACCATTTTCATCCCCGGGAAGAGCTCGCAAGCCGTCCGGGAATGCCCGTTCTGGGCAAATGCTGCGAGCATTGCGTTCCAGGCTGCAAGGTCCCTCTCTGGCATTGACAAGTAAAAGCGCGATGCTTGAGTGATTTCTCCGTGTTGGGCGTGTGCCGAGACGATTGCTGTCCATGAAACAATATCTCGTGATTGTGCTTGGTAGAATAAAGATTTAGCTTTGCCTAGATACCCATTCTGGGCATTTGCTGTGATCATCGTGTTCCATGTCACTAGATCGCGAAACTTCATCCTCGAAAAGAGTTCTAACGCGTAATCTAAAAATCCTAATCTGGCATAGCCATCCAACATTGTGTTCCATGATACTAAATTCCACTCCTGCATGGTATCAAACAAAAATCTAGCTTCTTCCAGATGGCCGTTTTGGGCATTTGCCGCTAGCATCGCGTTACAAGTCACCACGTTCCTCTCCAGCATGGAGTCAAACAACGACTGGGCCTCGCCGACGTGGCCGGCCTGCGCAAATGCCCCCAGCATCGCATTGCGCGCCACGACGTTGTGGTCTTGTATCTGGTCAAAGATCCGCTTGGATTCGCCTAGATTCCCGGCCCGACCGTGCGCCGCCACCAGCACGGTCAGCGACACCGTGTTCCACTCCTTCATCCGGTCAAGCAGCCGCGAAGCTTCGTGGAGGTCCCCCGCCTGGGCATATGCCGACAGCATTGCGTTCCACGACACGAGATCGCGCTCGTCCATCTCGTCAAACATCCGCCGCGCGATCCGGAGATTCCCGGCCTCGGCATATGCGTAGAGCATGGCGTTAGAAGCGACCACATTCACGGCGGGCATGGCGTCGAATATCCGCTTGGCATCTTCCAGGTGCCCGGCCTGGGCGTGCGCCACCAGCATCGCGGTGGAGGAGACAATGCCCCTCTCGGGCATGCCGGCGAAGATCCTCTCCGCATCTTCCAGATGCCCGGCCTCGCCCAGTGCGGTGAGCATTGCGGTGCAAGAGATCTGGTCCGTGAAGCGCATGGCAGAGAAGAGGGCACGCGCGGCCGCGGCGTCGCCGATCTTGGCGTGCGCGTCGAGGAGGATGGTGGCCGCGACCATGTCGTGCTCGGGCATGGCGAGGAAGAGGCTGTGGGCGCGTGCGAGCTCTCCGGCGCTGGTGTAGGCCGCGACCATGGCGGTCCAGGCGATGGAATCGCGCGCGGGCATGGCGTCGAAGATCGCCCGGGCGCGTTGCGGCGATCGCCTGCCATGCGGCGAGCGCGCGACGGCGAGCAGCATCTCCGAGCAGGCGACGACGTCCCAGATCTCCGGCATCCGGTGGAAGAGATCCTCGGCCTCGTCGAGGAGCCCGTTGGATGCGTAGGCCGAGAGGAGCGCCATCCAGCAAAAGGGATGGGGATTCGCGAGCTCGTCAAGAACACGGCGGGAGTCGCGGATGCTGCCAAGTCTTCCATACGCCCGGATGAGAGAAGACGCGAGCAGAGCGGAATTGGGGAGGAGGTGCTGGATTCGAGCATTGGCTTCGCGCAGCGCTGGCAGCGTCTTGCAGGATCTGAGAAGCTCTGTGGCATCCATAAAACCCTAAACTTTTGAATTCACAGAATATTCAAATCCTGCCAAAGAATATTCTCTTTTAACTTTAGCCTTTTGGTTCATCTATAACTTCGTGTGGTCCGTCATCAAACCTACCAAAACAGGAAGAAGCTCCAGTGGATTTTCATGGCAGAAGCGATCGATAGTATACTTCCAGGACTGCCAGATCGTTTGCTCGTCGCACACATCCTTCCAAGGCTGCCATGCTACACTCGCCCGGTATGTCGTGCTCTCTCCAAGGCCTGGAAATCCCTCCTCGACACTCCAGACCCCGCCCTGGAGCTTAGAACTCGTGAGCTCCAGCTCCCACGTCTCTGGGATCTAGATCTCGTGTGCACCTATGCTGACTGGGACAAAAAGATCAATCTCGCTCCTTTGATCCAGGAGCCTGGCAAAGGCTGGATCAAGCTTCCAGAGATCCGGGTCTATGCTCAAGGGCAACCAAGAATGGTGGCTTGGTCAGGGATGATCCTTGTCTGGACGATTAGAAAAGAGGGCTGTGGTGAGGGGCGAGACATGATCGCCAAGCTCGACATTGGGCGAGGGAAGTGGTTGTGGGATTTGTTCCCGGTGATCGGCGCTGCCGGCTGGAAGGATTCCGTAGCGTTCAAAGGCAAACTCTACTCGCAGTGGTCTCCAAAGAAGAAGCTCGGGAATGAGTATAGGACCGAGTGTCTGGTTTATGACATGGAACGCGATGATGTCTACGCCATCGCTGGGAAATGGATGTGTAGCAACGTTGGAATCACTCGTAGCTTGGGCTCGCCACCACAGCCATCATCCGGAAGATCCTCGGGAAAGGTGCGATCGGCTCCACCGGCAACAGAGAAACGATACCGCGATATCGCATCTTCGTCTTCCTCGTTGAGCTCTTGCGCCAAGGAGGATATGTATGGATTCGTCAAGGACTGGGATCGCCTTGCGATCAATGTTGTGAGGTACGACGATCGCTGTAACGAGTGGAAGATCGAGGAGGAGCTCCCCAGGGTTCCACAGCTGGAAGATCAAGTGGAAGATGCAGTGGCCGTGAAAGGGCTCACAGTGGTGAATCGAAGCTGCTTTCATCCGGCTATGGAGGTCGATGCGATCAACGTTGTTATGTACAGAGAAGAAGAGGGCGATATTATGTGGTGTAATGTATCAATGGAGAAGAATTGGGTTCCAATCGAGGATGAGCTTCTGGGCGGTGGGAAAATCAAGGACCTTTTGGTGGTGCATGGTGATCTTTTCGCAGTTTCTAGAGAAGCTCTTGATCAGGCTCCATTCTTCAAAGAATGGGTCATATGGAGGGGGAAAATCCATCACTCCAGCTCTAGGAATCACGTAGAGTGGAAAAGAATGTATGGATTGCCGGTTGGATCCAGGAGAATTTTGGATCAGCCTCCAACCAAGACACTTCTATGCTACACTTATATGACTTGAAATATAAAGAAACCCCCTGTTTTTTAGGGTTTTTACATTTGAAATCAAGAACCCTAATAACAGGGGCCCTGATTTTAAGGGTTCTTGGGAAGAATGCCGCCAATTCCGGATCTTCTAGATCAGCGCGAGTGTTTGCAGCTCATCCAATCCGCGAGAAGCATCCACTCCATCAAGAAAATCCACGCTAGTATCCGCCATCTGCTCTCGGAGGACGTGAAGATCGCCAACATGCTCCTCCAGCGCTACGCCAAATGCGGCAGCATCGAGCTCGCGCGCGCCATCTTCGACAAGATCGCGCCCAAGAACTGCTTCTCCTGGGCGATCATGCTGTCCGCGTACGCGCAGGCGGGCGATCTGGAGCACGCCAAGCGGATCTTCGACGCGATGCCCGAGCAGGATCTAGTCATCGCCACGACGATGCTGGATCTGTACGCGCGGTTGGGCAATCTCGCGCAGGCAAAGGCGCTGTTCGATCGAGGAATGCCGTGGCGGGATCTCGTGTCCTGGAACGCTGTTCTTGCGGCCTACTCGCAGCGCGGCCTCTTGACCGAGGCGAAATCCCTCTTCGATCGCGCGCCCGAGAGAGATCTCATCACCTGGACTGCGATGCTCTCGGCCTACACCCAGAACAGCGATCTCGGCAATGCGAAGCTCGTCTTCGATGAGATGCGCGAGAGGGACGCGATCGCGTGGAACGCGATGCTCCACGCGTATGCCCAGGCCGGGCATCTCGAGTACGCCAAGCACGTCTTCGATTCCATGCCCGAGCGATCGGTAGCGTCGTGGAATTCAATGATCTCCGCGTTCGCGCAGAACGATCACCTCGCAGAGGCCAAGGCAGTGTTTGATGCGATGGAGCAAAGGGATACCATCTCCTGGACTTCGATGCTCACGGCATTTGCCCAAAGCGGGCATTTGCGCGACGCGAAAGAGATGTTTGACAGGATCAAGGATCCCGATCTCGTCGCCTGGAACGCGATGCTCAGTGCGTACGCGCAGAATGGCTGCCTCGACCGCGCGCTAGAGATGTTCCACACGATCGAGAGAGGGGATTCCATCGCCTGGAACGCGATGCTCTCGGCGTATGCGCAGAACGGGCGACTCTACGAGGCGCTCGCGCTCTTCTGCTCGCTGCCGGAGAGGAACGTCTCGTCCTGGAACGCGATTCTCACGGGCTACGCTTCCAACGGGCTCTGGCGCGAGGCCATCGATCTCTTCCAGGCGATGAAGGCGGTGGAGATGCCCAACGAGATATCGTTTGTGTGCGTGATCATCGCCGCGAGCCATCTGGGCGACGTGGAGTGCGGCTTGGGCGCTTTCGTTTCGATGCGGCTGGACTACTGCGCGAAGGCGACCAAGCAGCACTACTGCTGCGTGGTGGACTTGCTGGGACGAGCCGGATACGTGAGGGAGGCCGAGGAGCTGTTGCAAACCATGCCTTTCGTGCCGGAGCCTCTCGACTGGACGTGCCTGCTCGCGTCTTGCTCCACGCACCGCGATGGCGAGCGCGGGTCCAGAGCCTCCAACCGGATTGTCGACTTGAATCCGAGGAAAGGTGCCGCCTATGTCTTGCTCGCAAGCATCTAAGAGTGGTAAGTTCTTTCGCTTTCTCATCTCCCTTCTTTCTTCTTCATTCATTTCGCTTTGGTTTTCATTTCCTTTTGTTCTTCGCCATTGGCCTTTCGTTCTTTCGCTTTGTTTTACGTTTGATTTGGTATGTTCTTTCTCTTTGTTTTTACCTTCCGGTTCTAATTCTCCTTCTTTTTTTTGGATTCTGTAGTGGGAGACAGTGGCAGCGACAATTCTGTTTTTTTATCCATGACTGAGTTATCCTCTTCTACACAATCTTAAGTTCTTCTTCCTCCCGTTTTTTCACGTCTCGCGGTAAGGCCTCTGTTCTTTCTTGTTTCTGGTGGAAACTGTTTCGTTTTTGTTTCTGCATTCCTGTTTCGAGTCGGACATGCTAGTTCACTTCGTTTTCCTCAGATATTGACAGTGAGTTTTTTTTTCTTTCCAGGGACGCGGCTAAGGAGCTAACGCGTCCACGCTCTTCTTTTAAGTTTTGTGGGGGCCAACCAGCGTAAGGTCTGTCACCAAGAGTGGACTGGCCGAGAAGCCATTAACTTTGTTTTCTTTTTCTTCCTTTTTTAGTGCCGCCATTGTACCAATCGGTGATCGTGTTTCCATGCTACACGCTCTACTTGCTCCAAAGCCCGACTATAAACTACACATGCTTCATTGAATCCAATGCTGCTGCTGTGACGCTGTGATGTGCCGAGAGGCTATCGATTTATAAGCCAGGTACCCAGCTTGACTCGTTTTCTATGCCAGATATCTAACTTCTAGCGACTCAAGGACACAGTCCAGTGGGAGGAGCTCGATACCAGAAGGAAAACTTCTTCTGGCTTTAGAAAATACGAGGAGCAGGACAATGTGTGTGAAGTAAAGGTGACACTTGACCATCCTGTCGGAGCTCAGTTTTCCAGGGAGCACTGCTTGCCTTGCTTGCGTGCGCTTTGCTTGCTTGCTTGCTTTGCATCCATTGATTCCTTGTGCTTTTCTACTTGAAATATTCATCGCTTCTAACTGGCCATCCCGAGGATATATGTGTGGAACAGGGAAAGCTCACGGGAAATCGCGAAAGGAAGAATCGGAAGGCCTCGAGAGCGGAGCCTGGCATGAATGGTGGTGGCTGGAACAGAGGGGATTTGGATGAGAGATGCCTTGGTACCATTAAAGAAAAGGCGGAGAAATGCTAAGCCGGAGGAGAAGTATCAAACCAAACAAACAAGGAACAGGCTCCAAGCACGTCGAGGTTAGTGGGAGGCAAGCTGATTAATTCTGCTACTCATGCATGCGGCCGCTGTCTGCCAGGACTCGGACCAAAGCGTCGCGGATTTTAATCGACAAAAAAAAAGAGTAAAGGAGCAGTCTTGATGCCCAAGTTCGTCCCCTGCGTGGTCTATCTTTGTCGGACGAAGCCACTTGCAGGAACTCCATGGAGGTAAGAATCAGCTGAGAGAGAGGAAAAAAAAAACCGAAAAAAACAGGAAAAAAAGAGAGGGAAAAAAAAAAGATGGAGATATAAGTATCCTTGAGAAGTGTGCGCGAACTTTTCTAGAGGAGGAGCACCACTGAGGCAGTGGGGACCAAACTCTACAGTTGTGGAAGATCACTTTCATCGCCATTTTAGTACTTTGGAGGAGATTCTCTCGCTCGGAGTGGCAAACAACAGTGTTCTTGCCCCTGGTTACTGATTCTCTGGTCTCTCGTAAGTAATCCACTTGCTTTTTTTCTTTTTCTTGGACAATTCACTGATTTAAGTGGCACTTGCAGTTTGGTTCGTTTGTTGCTCGTCCCTTTCAATCGGATTTTTAAGCAGGCCGCCGAGCGAATGAAAGCGAGCTTTACGAGTCGCTCTCGATTCATTTCTCACTGATCACGAGTGGGAGAAGAGTTAGGCTGGGATCCCCCATTCCTGGTTTCTGGTAAGCAATCTCTCCATAGTTTTCTCTTTTCCTTTCTTTCCTTTCTTCCTCTAACCTCTCTGTTCCAGGCTTGGCTTGGTTGTTTCCATTCGCTCCTTGTTTGATTCGAGCCAGCGACAAGTAAGATTGATCTTTCTTTAGTTTCTTTCTTGTGAACACAAGAAGAACAAGGCTGGCCATTTTTCTAAGCAAATTCTTTTTGGACCACCACCAATCTGCACGACGTTTAAAATAATTCGCGCGGTCTGTGCGCGTGGAACACGAACACTCGCGAATGGCGGCCTGTATACGCCTCCTTTAAAAGGTGCTTAATCCGGTTTAGGCATTTTGTTAATAGAAACAAACGGGTGGAGATCCCAGTGACATCAGGGTGATGCGTTAATTTTTGCTGATCTGCCAACTTTGATGTGGTAATTTTTCACCCCATCACACTATGCAAGAAAATCTGGTTACCTTACCATTGTTCGTTCCATAAATCCAAAGATTTCAGCCCATGTATAAGATTTGATATTTGCCTAGAGTCTTGTCAATCTAAGGAAATCACTTCTTGTTTACTACGTTTCTAACATTTATTAATTTCACCATCCAAGGTAAGAACTTCACCACGAGGTGAAATAAAAAATGCCGCTTACACAGCAGTAAAAGCCAGAGTAAACAAAGGCCCAGAAGGGTTGACTCTTCTGGAGAAGTTTGAACAAGCCCACCATTCATTGGAATTCATTCTCGGGCCACCATTCAAATCGCAAATTCAAGACGGTCTGGCCTGTCACTGGGACACTGTAGTGAAACCACGATCCCTTCATATGCATATAAAAGCTTTGACCAGCTGCAATTCTCCACCCCCATTTTAATTTTTTTCAAGGCTTCCATGTAAAACCCCTTTGACCTGGCTTGCAAGTGGCCATTTGGGCATTTTGCCAAGGCACACATCTTTTTGGCTCCTTGCATGTTATAAAAGTGGGCAGGGACAAAAAGCAAGGGGAAACTTTGAAAGGAAAAAAAGCCTCCAGAAAAGCAAGAGGAAGTGGGGTATTTGCTGTTGTCACTCACTCACACTTTGGGGCTTTCTCTTCTCCTCTAAAGAAAGAGGGAGTGGTGCATTTGGAGCAACTTCTTTTGGATCAAACAGCCGGCGAGTCCCCACAGAGAGAGGGTGAATTTGTTGCAGATTGATAGCCTCCTGCAATAATTTACAACAACAACAACAATACTGTGCATGCATGCTGCAATGCAATTGCCCAGTTGCAAATTGTGGCATGCATGTCCACATCTACTTTTATTAGTTCCTCACCAAACTTTGCTCGCCACCTTTTCCTCTTTTTTCATTTAATTTTCTTATGTAACTAGCTAGTTACCAGAAACCTGCCTGATACTGGCTCTAGTTTGCGTGATGCTGTGCTTAGCTCAGCACGTAAAAGCGCTCTCAACTCAAGTTACTTTGCTGGCAAAATGCCAGGCTTTGGTAAATGCTCCCCGTCACACCACCCGTCACGCTTTCGAGAGTTAACAATCAGGCAAAAGCGGATCAGCCAGCTGACTGATCTCTGCTGATGGTGTCCGAAACTCGCTGCTAGCGAAATGGTGGTGGGGAATATCCCCCTGGGTCAGGGAAATTCGGGTTGGTCTCGCAGAATGCTGTACAACTTGCAAAGCGGTGACGTAGGGTGTATCCTGTTTATCTCTCACGTGTATGGTGTTCTTGGAAAGTATACGTAGATGAGTATTTGATTGAAGACTGATCTCCTTCCTCTGATGATGATGGTGTGTGTGATTGATGACAGGCGATTGATTTGGGAGTCATCGACTCGCTCGGTGGCGAAGACGAAGATGATCTCATTGCCGTGTTACACTGTTGCGTGCCTGATGACCTCATCGCCCAAAAGCGGTGTTGGTTGTGTGATCTCGGGGAGAGATTCTTTAAAGGTTCAGAAAAGGTGGCGGGGCTAGAACATTAGGTTTCTTTTCCTGATCATGTGTGCTCACGGGATTGAGATTCTACCGTACGGGGGAATACTGCCGTGTTGGGCTCTTACACAATTCTATACAAAAAAAAAATGAAGTTAAAAAAACGGAAAACAAAAGGAAAAATAAACGAAAAAAAAAAACAAGCAAGAAGTTTGACCCGCTCACGTTCAATGTCTAGAAGGACATGAGATGAGAGCAACAAACAGACGTGGGGCACAAGTCTTGGCCGCGATGACCTCCCCGTAATCAGTCCCGCGGAGGCGTTTTTTGTGTAGGTGGGGCTGAGTTGGGTTGTTGCATCTCCATCCCCTTGCCTCCTTACTCGCCCATTTTTCACGGATGGACAGGAGATCCAAAAGCCCCTTCCGTACATACTGTGACAACTTTGGCGGTGGATGCCGTGTTTTCATGGCAAACGCACACACACGAGCTCGCAAGTTGACAAGCAAACAGTATTTTTCTCTTCTTTTTTTTTTCTCTTTGGTGGATCGAAAGATATCTTGGGTGGGAACCCTTGCTCCAATCTAGAACCTCTAAGAGAAAGGATCTCTTGCTAGATTCCGTTACTCCAGGACCACCACCCCGCTCTTTGTTATAAAGTGCGGGGTGTTTTAACGAAAGAAACTTCTCATTCCTGTGTGACTCTTTCTCGCCTTCTTCGGAGAAGCTCAGGGGAAGAGGTCCCAAAAGCGAGAGCTCTTCCAATGAAGAACCCCACAAAGGAGAGAGATATGGGCTCCACTCTAAGCTCTAAAGAATCACTCGCAATATGGCTGTACAATACAAACAAACACTCGAAAAGAAAGGATTGAAAGCTACATATGAGAGAGAAAGAGAGAGACACTAGACTACCGCCCTCTCGTGGATTCCCTTGCGAAATCCAAATCTAAGCCACACAAAATCTATAGCAAGCAAAGGAAGTTCATTCCAAAGTTGTCTCGCGAGATCACACTTGTTTCATGAGCTTCCCCGCCCAGCTCCATCTTGTTGATGGTCACCGTCCACAATCATCACTCCAATCTTGTCACACGGCAAAAGGTTCCCATTATAAACCGTCTCCAAAAAACCATGAACTTCCGTACAATGCCGTATGACACGGCCCCTTCATATAAGTAACCCAACCCCATACGAAACCCACGCGGTTTTTACTTTTCTTCCGTGAATCTCTTCCATCGCCTCCATCGCCTCTTCTTCTTCATCATCCTCTCCTCACTCTCTCACATTTTTTTTTTACTTTTTTTCTTTTGCTTCCATGGTCTTGTAGACCGTGGTTTTTGGAATCGATCAGGAAGTTTGTTTGGCCACAGGTCTCCATCCCGGAGCGTATAAAACTCAAGTTGGAGATCCATACAGCACTGTCCAAATCCTGAATGGGATTTCTGGTGACACGTACAGACGATCCTACTCGTCGTCGCTCCTTTGCTGCGGCTGCTGCTTCTTCTGTTTCATTCGAATTGCAATCGCGGGGATTCGTCTCACAGGCTATAAAGGAGTTTGCTTCCTCCTCTTCTTTGAATTTTCTTTAGCTTCTTCTCTCTCTTTTTTCTTCTTCTTCTCGTGGAGGGGGCTGTGATTGTGAAGCGAGCGGGGAAGCAATTGGCCATTTAATGGGCATTCGAAAGACCCGGGCAAGGCATCACAGCTCTGGGACAGAGACACAGGAAAGAGAAGAGAGAGAGCGAGCGAGTGAGAAAAGAGCTTAAATGGAGAAATATCATCATAGCTGGGATGGAGCTTCTTCTTGATTATTAGCTCGTCAAAAAAAAGAAAGGAGAGAGAGAGAGAGAGGAGAGAGAAGACTCAAGCAAGCAAGGAAGAAGAAGAAGTAGCAGATCTCTTCTTCAAATTCGGATATCTCTCATGATCTAGAGTCGAAATTCTGCATTTTTCTGGGAAGGGGGAGCTGTGGCAGCTTCTCCAGACAGATGTTTCAGGAGTGCCATGAGAAGAAGAGGAGCATACAACGGTGTGAAAATGAGGAGCAAGCTGGAACATCTTCCAAGTGACAAGACAAAAGTCTTATGGAGAGGAGGCTGATCAAGAGTGCCAAGGAGGAGGAGCAGCAGCAGCAAGAGGAGCTCGAGAGAATTCTCCAAACCCTAGGCGGAGCTACAGAAGCTTCTTCATCTCCATCGCGGTCTACAGCAACAGCGCTGATAACTTCTTCTTCTTTCTCTTCCAGTTCTTCCAGTTCTTCCAGCTCTTCCAGCTCTTCGTCGTCCTTGATCGCTACCGCTAGCGGGATAGCTGCATCGGCCGCGCAGCCAGCAGCGCTGATGGACTCCACGGTTGCAGCAGCGGCTCCCTGGAGCTTCCACTTGGATCCCGCGATGGCGGCCATGGTGGACTCGGCGCAGCTTCTCTACAGTGGCGGCATCTCGGGCATCATGGCCGGCAGCTCCACTGTTCCAGGCAGTAGCAGTAGTGGCGCTGCTGCCGCTGGGAGGCTCTACACCGACTGGAATTTGGCCGACTTTGACAACGCTGCTACTGCTGCTACTCCTCGATCCGGAGTGGAAGCGTCGTGGTGGCAGCAAACTTTCCTCTCGCAGCAGCAGCAGCAGCAACAACAGCAGCAGCACCACCATCGCCACCAAGAACACTTGGAACAAAGCTACAATCCCGCGGGATTTTTCTTGGACGACCCAGATGACGATCAAGTAGCGGCGGCGTCGAATCAACAGCAGCTGGATCTGGCGAGCGCTGGTCATGCTGCTGCTGCTGCTAGCGCTGGTGTTGCTGCTGCTGCTGCTAGTGGATCGATTGCGTCTGGAGGGTCAGGAGGAGGAGATCAGGCGATTGGAACTCCCACGTCCTTCACGTCCTCGTCGGGAGCCAGCGATGGCGACGAGGAGCACAAGGGAAATGTGGCATCGTCCGGAGGATCGCTCAAGCGCAAGGCCGGGTCTTCCGAGGACGCGGAGAAATCGTCGTCGCTGGAGCCGCAGCCGCAACAACAGGAAGGAAAGAAACCGTAAGAACTCTCGGCAAACTTTTCACCATTTCTTCTCTTCCATTGGGCTTTTGGTTTGTTCTTGCGGTTTCTTTGCTTTCTTCCGTGCTTTCGCGCTTTCATGCTTCTTGGGCTTGCGAGGATTTGCATCGTCGTAACTGGGCTGCCATGAATTTCAGTGTTGGCGGACGCCATAGCCATCCATCTCTTACGTATGCCCGCCTCGGGCATACGTGAGCCTACACTGGCATTTTTCACGGAAGATTTTCGTGCTTCCAAAGGCAATGATGAAAACATGGAGTTGTTTTTATCCTGGGCATTTGTGCATTTGGATTTCATCCCTGACTGGAACTCTCATCTCACAGATCTCTCACCAAAATTTTCCTGTCAATCGTTTGCTTCCAGAGCCAAGCCTCCAAAGAAAGGTCCCAAGCGAAACCGCGAGCCTCGCTACGCTCTCCAGACGCGCAGCGACGTGGATATCATGGACGATGGATTTCGGTGGCGAAAGTACGGGCAAAAGGCCGTCAAGAACAGCCCCCATCCAAGGTACGTGAGCAAAAAAACTGGATTTTTCTTCCGATCGATCACCAAGTTTTCTTTCTTCTCTCGCAGGAGCTACTACCGCTGCACCAACAGCAAGTGTCCAGTGAAGAAGCGAGTGGAGCGTTCCTGCGAGGACCCCGGAATTGTTATCACCACTTACGAAGGTACTCACACTCACCACAGTCCGGCGACGCTGAGGAGTTTGACGGAAGTTGGAGGCGGCGGAGGCGGAGGAGGTGCTGGAGCTGTGAATCCTTTCGGCAGCCAGCGCCCCGGATCGTTCACGCAGGCGCTGTACCAGACTATGCCTCACTTGCAAATGCAGCAGCAGCAATCGCTTCTCTCTGGCCTCGGAGCTAGAGGTGCCAGCTTCAATTTTCCATCGGCTCGAGCGCAAAGCCAGCAGCAGCAGCAGCAGCAATTCCTCCAGCAGCAAAGCCAGCTTCTCCAGCAGCAGCGGCAGCACCAGCGAAGCCAGCAGGATCAGCAACAGCTTCTACAGCAGCACCAACAGCAAAGCCGGCAAGTAGGCCAAAGCCAGACTTTCACGGACGAAGGCCTGCTAGAAGATATGGTTCCTCCTGGTATGCGGAAATGAAAATTGGAAACTTACCTCGATAGCAGGACCATCTCGAAAGAGCCAGGAGGTCGGTGTTTAAGTCTGGCCAAGCGAAGAAAGGTCCAGTTTTGCGCGTTCTACTGCAGCACCGAAAGGAGAAAAAGAAACGTACACATGAATTAGCAAATAACTTCCACGGCCCAGCGCATTTTGAGACAAGGTACCTGGTTCTGGGCCGCTACTAACACCTTCAGATGGAGCTCTTGTCACAAGGCACCATTTTTTTTGCTCGACGATCCAAGAGGCTTAAACATTTCCTCTCGCGCAGGCCTTTTCCGTTCTCCTTGTTCCGATATAATTTGTTATATCAAGCCGCGGGGGGAAGAGATGCTGCTTCGTAGTGTTACATTCATTCCATCTGTGTAGCTCGCAATAAAACTTTTGGTCACTTTCACCATATCTGAGCGTTGCAGCGGGGGAGCACAGAGCCGCAGTAGCGAAATCCCACCAGATGGATCATCCCATCTCGGGCAGCAGCAGCAGCAGCAGGAGCAGCACTGAAATACCATAAAGCATGTCAATAGCAGAGCTCGGCGATGGCATTAATGCAACAACGTACCTGTTTGGACGAGGACTGATCGCGTCAAAAAGCCTGCAAAAACCACATATCTGGAACTCCAGAACCAAATGATCACTGGAAATGTGTGCATAGCTAGCTACCTGGGGGAGTACATTCTTGTGTAAGTGCGCTTACACACACCGACACAAAGCCTTCGCGTACGAACCAGCTTCAAACGCTTCAACCGTCGAGATCACCGGATCAAACTAGGACCACGCGGCTGGCCGCTGGAGCGATCATATAATAATACCCGGGTGGCTCGAATCGCGAGAGAGCGAGCGGAGACTCAGCAGTAGCAGTCGGATTGAAAAGTAGAGAAATCCATTAAAAAGGAAAGAGTGAGAGAGGGGAAGAGCCAATGTAGTAAACCTCGCAGCGGATGTGTGTCGTGCTGGTGTGGCCACGCTCCATCTTCAGTGAGGGCTGACATAGTTCGCGAATCGATCTGGTCAAAAACGAGAACGATTCACCCGGTCAGATGACACGAACAGGAAAATTCTTTCTTTTCTAGCAAGCAACACCTACCAGTCTACTGGTTGACAAGCCTTCGTCAAGAACGCAAGAAGCGACACTTAAGGTGGGCTAACATAGCTGACAATGCGTCCTGCTTTTGTTCACACCTCCAAGTTAGCCCCAGAAATCCAGCCAAGCCAGATCTTACGCTCGTCAGTATGGCTGCCGGTGCTTCCTGTGGAAACGATGATACTGCTTCCGCTTCCTCTCGATCCCGCTTAGCTCCCGCTTCTCAATCTCCACCACCTTGATCGGGCTCAGCTTGAACGTCCCGTTTCTAAGCTTGGCTTGAGTGTTGTGGAACCAGTCCATGCTCACGTTGTCCAGAGGAACTTTCGATGGATCGCCACCTGGACCCGCCTTGACTCTCCTGTACGCCTCCAGTAGAACGTCTATGTCCGACACCACCTCCATCAAGCTCCGGTACCTCCCATCCGGATCCGGTGCTAGCATGGACAGCTTCTGATGAACTTTCTTGCAGTGCTCGTCCTGGACTAACGATCTAGAGTCGTACTCCTTCTTCATCGCTCTGAGATAAGCGCCGGCTTCCTTACGAACCCGCCCAGCTTCCCCCTGCTGCTGCCTAAACTTCTCCTCGGCCTTCTTCACTGCGTCCTCCGGAACATTGGGAAGAACACGCGCGAGTTCTTCCATCAATCTATCCGAGACCGAAGGCTGCTCCACCTCTTTACTTTCTTCCGTATCCTTCTCGGTCAGTTCACTGCTAGGTGTTTCATCCATCCCCTCGTTCTCGTCCCAGAGATCGTTGTCGTTGAGATACGTATCACCCTCCTCAAACTCCGACCCCTGGTCTGAGTCGCCACCACCACCACCCTCTCCTTCGTCGTGGCTCCACATCGACTCACTCTCACTATAGCTCCCTTCTCCATCGCTCGTGTCGGACAATTGCTCGCGCTCGTCGAAGAAGGACTTCTCATTCTTGTCACTAGAGCTAGACTCGGTGGAGCAGGACCTCCGAGCACCTGGAATGAGTAAGAACGGCTCTCAAACAACCGACTGGCAGGCAAGCATTCAAGCGGCGGAACGAGCGGAGAGAGCCTGACCTTCGAAACGTAGAAACCCGCAGCTCGAGAGCCCGGAAACCAGCCGCGATGACGCCAGAGTGCTGTGAAACGGCCGCATTGACTCCAGCGCCGCGATTTCACGAGGAATCCTATGTGTGTCGAAGTACGTGAGCAGGCAACGGCGCCGGGAGATCATACCTGAGGCATCGCGGCCGCTGGAAGGCCGATTGCCGCGGCGGCGCGCGCATTGTCGCAATCAGGCGCCTCGCTATTCCCCTGCTCGCCATGAGAAGCCCCAAGCCCTAAACCCTTGTGAGCTCATGACATGGCAAATCAGCCCTAAAATACGATGACGTGTCTGCCACGCTGGCGGATAATGTTTTAGGGTTTTAGGCGCGAGGGAATGGCTACAATATCCGGGAATGCGGCATCCATGGCGCTTGCGCGCCGCCTTGTCTCTCCTCCCCAGGCGCTGCGCTCCTCCTCGTCGCTCTCCAGGTCAAATCTGGCTGCGAAATCATCGCCTTGCGTGATTCTCCGGGCAAATGCCGCTGCCGCCAATACCGAAGGCTCCAAATTGCGGCAGATTTCTTCGCTAGATTCCATGATTTGGAGAGCTAGGAATGGCAATGGCGCCGTGCTGCGAATGAGCACTCCCACAGTTTTATCGCTCCAAGGTATGCCGAGAAAATTCTCCATCTTCCTTGGTTCTTTCTTTCTCTCTCCTTTTCCTTCTTTCTTTTATTTGCTTGGCTTGTTTGCAGGCACTTTTATGTGCACGAGCACAACAGATGATGGTGGATAATTCTCTTTTGTGGTCCTCTCTAGCAGGTCACGTCGTGCATTCCTTCTTGAAGAGTGGAGTCACGTAATTTTCTGGTGAAAGAGAGAAAGAGAGAGGGAGAGATTCTCGCCAAAGAGGTTGGAAGTTCTTTTATTTTTTGGTTTATCATTGAGAAACGGAACACAAACTTTCCTTCTACGAACAGTCACTAGAAAGGCTATATATCTTTGCTCTGCCTGATGTTTTCGTGCTTTTACAGGCACCTCCAGTAGCAGAGCTGAAAGCTATCGGTATAGATGTTGGACTTTGGGTTTCCTTGCAGTAATCTAAACTCCTGTTTTATTGTTTCTTGTGCTTTGACAGGAGAGTCGGATGTGACCAAAGTTTCTAGTTCCTCAGTCGGCAGTTTTTGCGAATCTCGCCTTCAGCCTTGACGTTAATAGCACCCATCCGGACCATGGCGTTTGCGAACTTAAACTGCCACATGTTTTCATCCTCGGCGTTTGACTGGGAAGAAAACTGGGTGAGCATGTCGCTGTGGAGCGTCTGATCTGAGATCATGAGCCCCATGTTGTTGACGAGGTTGGAGTAGTAGCGATTGTCAAACTGGGAAGGGGTGACAGGATCCAGCGGCACGACAGTTCTCGGATCAAAGTTCCTCGGACAGGCCTGCTTTAGTTTCCCGGCGTAAGCAGCGTCGAGATTCGGATCAGTATCAAACTCCGGGCTGAAGTTATAGAGCCTCTGGCTGAAAGAGACACAGTGAGCTCGTCCTATCGTATGTGCTCCTGGAAGTTGGAAGAAGATCAGTGGCAGGCCGAGAGCAAACTTATGAAACTTTACCGGACAAGGTGATCATCTCATCTTGAGTCAGACCAACATCAAGGAACCTCTGGGTTAACTCTTCAGAGTTTTCGTTCGTGGGAGGAAGAAGGTCCTCCGCTTCGGTCCTGAGTGAAATAACACCATCTTTACGTCCTGTTTCCACTGGCCAAGTTCCTCCTCCAGACTGGTGGTAAGCATTCTTCGTCAAGTTCTCGAAAGAAATCTTACGAAGCAGGAGTTCTTACCAGGGAAACAGCATCTCGGGCTGCTATAGCGAGAATGTCAGCACATGAGACAGTCTCTGGACACGCTTGTTCGAGAGCTTGCTTTACTGCGTCGACGACGTTGTATCCTCGGAGCGAGAAGTTTGGGACAGCTTGTTTCTCCGTGGCGGGGAAGCCGTTTTGTGGATCCAAGAGAACGGACCCGTCACAGCCCTGTTCATCAAGTTGGCGGCGATTGGTGAGCAAGAATTCTTTCAGTGACTACGGATTTTTCAAATCGATAACGATGCTGCCGAGATGAAAGGCGAGACAGAAGTTGCTCACGGACCTGGACGAAACAGTCGTGGAAGTGGAGACGAAGCAACGAAGCAGCGATGGATTGGTCTCGTGCCACGGCCGCGGTGAGAACTTTCTTGACAATCTCCTCGGCCATGGGACATCCATTTTGCTCGTAGTATCCAACAACGAGCTGAGCTTCCACATGGACAAGCGTGACAACAACACTCACCACCAATGCTGCTACTGCTTTGCGGACGACGAGCTCCATCGCTCTTCCTCGCTCGGTGCTGTGACGACTCCCATCCATCACCACCATTTATACAGGTAACTTTGCTCCAACTTGTTGAGTTGTGCTTGAGCTGTTTAGCAGAAATATCCTTTTCCAAATGATTTTGCGCGGCTTGTAGTGGAAGAGCAACTCCAGTAAAAAGTAAGCCCACTTCCATTATTCTAGATTCTTGTCAGAATACATCGCTTGGCTCTAAAGCTACGAGAAAATCTTATGTACAGGTGACTGATCACTAGCGAAAAAAATGAAGAAAAACGCTTCAATACGGCCGGTATGGATACTCTGCAAAGATTGAGTTAGCCCCTCTCACGCAAAGATTTTAAACAGGAACTTAGGTGCTAGCTACAAACCTTGATATACTGGAGGATAGCCAGACGAAGTTGGAGGAGGCCCATACGAAGCTGGAGCTGTAGGAACATAAGGAGGTGGCTGCTGATGCGTATACGGAGATGGTGGTGGAGGATGAGAATAAGCTGCTGAATAGCCGGCCTGGGGAGCTGGAGATGGATATGGTTGTGGCGAATAAGGTCCAGGTCCATAGCTGGAATACGCTCCACTATGTTGTTGCTGATGCTGTTGCTGTGGTGGTGGATTGTAGTATGATTGCGACGAATATGGAGCCGCAGGAGCTGGATATGGGGCCGCTGTTGGTGGTGGAGCAGCGTACGGATAAGGCTGTGGAGGCGTGGAGTATAGCTGCGCTGCATATGGAGATGAGACCATCGGAGCTACTGGTTTTGGCTGGAAAAAAGATCTCCAAGTAAGAAAAACAGTGTTGAAAGTATCAAGTCTAAAGTTTACCGTTTTCGTGAAGTGTAGAATGACCCGCAGTTCTCCGGCATATCTGCGAAAAGAAAGATCAAATGTAAGCTTTAGACTCTCCTGTTTCTTCTCGATTTTTGATACCTTCCACTTTTTGATGTTAGGTTCCACGTTGAATCATCATAGCCCGTGGTGAGAGCTTTATCCAGCAGTATCCTAGAAAAAAATTTACGAGGGCCGCGTCAGGCATGACGTCCACGAGGAAACGCAAGCTACAAAAATCGCACAACGCACCTTCCAGAGCCAATGAAGTCATCGAATGTAAGCGTGTTGCTGTTCCACACCTCCGCGTTTATCTCACGGAGCCCCTCGATGAGAGGCAGCACAAACTTCTGGTTGAAGGACGGATTTCTTCCTCCATCTGCGCAAAAGAAAGTCTCTTAGCTCGTGATCAAGTAAAAAGCTAGCTACAGTGATCATGAGCTTATGATCAAAAAAATGGAAGAGAACATTTTTCTAGCAAACAAGTGATCAAGCACAGCAAACCCAAAAAGAAAAAAAAAAAGAAATTTTTTCTTAGCTGCTAGTGATCATGAGCGTATGATCGAAATGACCGAAAAACTCAAGGAGCACAGCAAACAAACAGGCAAACGAGAAATTTTCTTAGCTCGTGATCAAGCAAGCAGCTCATTACCTGTGTCGGTCTTTGTCCTCAATTTGCTACTGGCATAAGTGATCACAACGTATGGATCCTGCCTCGACAGCCATTCCTTGTCTCTCAAATTCCTGCATCCTAGAACTGCCAAGACACACAAAGAAGATTCTTAGCCGAATCACTCCAGGAAATTCGCTCCCACCAAAGAGAAATAGAAAATGGGAGCGACAGTGCCACCGACAGGGCGCCAAGATCTGGAATTCCACTCACCATTGATATCGAGGAGCTGCCCTTGCACGCCCGCCGCCATTCCCTCTCCCGCTTCCTCGATCGATCGATCGATTGAATCACAGCCGCCCTAGTTTTTTCCCATTATATGTGAATGCCGCCGCGCCCACAAGGAGCCGGGACCCCGTCAATGCCGGCGAATATTCCACGCCATTCTATGTTTCACAGCTCCACGCGGAGGATATTGTTTTGGTTCATGCTTTTCATCGATACTTCTCGCCTATGATCTATTTGCCATTCGCCATCTACGACGAACTTCATCTGGGCCAAAGAAGAAAGAAAACGTTTTCTTTTTATCAGCCATCATCGATCGAAGAGAACTTTTGAAACTCGTTACCTCGTACACGCCAGGATAGAGCCATAGCTCGGTCTCCCACAACAACGGACCTCTAGAAAAAAAACCTTGGAGTTTAGCAAAAGAGAAACAAGCCGACAGTGATAAATTCACCTTGATCCGTCTGGTTTGACGATCTCGGACGAAAGATCGGGCTCCAGCACGAAAAAGTGCTGCCAGCCATTGAAGCTTCCAGCGAGCTCGACTTTGGAAGCTACACCCCACCACTCTATCTTCACCTGCGTTGACAATCTTAAACGTGTCATGTCTGGAGAGAATTTTCGAAGTTTGTAGTACCTGTTTTAGATTCGCCAGCGCATGCTCCGCAGCGCTGAGTCGCAAGTCCTTTTCCATGGACGCTTGCTTAGCCTGGGACAGTTCTGCCGTGGTCTTGGCTTGTACCAAAGCGAGTTGTGCCTGGAATTAAGAGAAAACTCTTTCTTTAGAACTGAAAAATAATAAGCGTTGATTCTTTCACCTTGGCCTCGTTCAGTTCACGCGATAAAAGGCTCAGCTCTTTCTCCCGCATTTCCTACTTGAGATTTGAGTATCAAATGAGAATTTAGCAATTGTTTTACCAAAGCTGCTTTCGGATCCTCTGAAAACACCGGAGCTTGGTCCTTCGACTGGGATTGAAGACCCTTGTCCTTCTGGATTCACGGAAGACAACGGTTTAAACTGAGTTTGTTTCTCCTGCACTTGAATATCATTTTCTTTTCCCTGTTCTCTACAAACAATGGCAGAGCACCCCCATAAGACAGTCAATGCTGATGCAGAAGCTAAAGAAAGGTAGAAGTCCCACCTCTAAGAGATCTTGGACTTTATTGGTAGTAGCAAATAGTTTCTCGCTAGCTATTTGTTCGTCCTGAGAAACCGTCTCCCTGATGGAAACCAAGATGACAAAGATAAGAACAAAAAAAGCAAGCTCACCTGGAGCTGATGAAGGGTGTGAGCTTCGATCGTAGCAGCGCTGCTTTTCTCAGTGCAACCATTTCCAAGGCTTCGTCCTCGCTGTCAGATTCTTCAGTCGTGCTTAAAGCCTCGTTTTCTTCTCAAAATCGAACGAAAGAGTTTTTAGTGCTTCGAGGATTTAGAAGACGAATGTACCTTGATCCGAAGAGAACTCTCCCGTACGTAGGAACTTCTCAGCTTTTTCTTCCAAGACCTGGCTCGAATCTACTCCAAGAACATCTGGAGAAGGCGGCCTTATTACATCGAGATACTCAAGCTGGTGATGGCTGGCTCTCTCTTCATCTTCTGTCCTGGCAGAACCGTTAAGAACAACATCGTTCTCGACTTGCGGCTGTAGAGCATCACAACTTTCATCCACAATGTTTCCAACAACAGGCTGGCTCGAGACGGGAGTCGAAGCTAAGAGCTGTGCGATGGCTTTGTAGCCTCTGCGTCTCACAACGTTGGCAAGATCTTGGCTAGAGGAAGAACAAGGAAATCCATAAGAAAAATCTTTCGCTCAAAGCATACCGTCCATTGCTCGCTAGCTCCTTTGTACTTGGAACTTTATCAGAAGGAAGTCCATTAGCTACCATGAATTCCCGGAGCTCCCGCGCCAAATTCGCATCGTTCCACGGCTTACTCCTAAAAATCCTCTTCGATCAGAAGCACAGCTACAGTAACACACACCTGGAATCCTGAATCGAGCTGGAGCAAAGAAATGCCCTCAATTTCGTGAGCTCCCGGCCCGCATTCTTGCACCCCCTAAACTGGAGCTCCGCGGCGCCAGCGGATCCAGCGGCGCCATGCCTCCAGAAGCTCGGAGAAGGCGTAGCGACAGCTGCGACGTCCATCTTCTTCCGAAGAACCCTAATTTCGTATTTGTCCGGGAATATGCCTAAAGGATCTTCTCCAAGAACCCTAAAAACAGAGAAGGGGAAAAGAGCGGCATTGCGATGAATCGCGATCTCCACGCAGGGCAAATTCTCTGGCGCCACATCGTATGGCGCACCAGGGAGTCCAAGGTGTTCTTCGCCGGCTTCATGGGAGCGTGCCTCGTGGTGCCGTGGGTGGTGGCCGAGGGATTCATCTGGGCGTCGCGGCGCAATGAGGAGAAGCTCAACAAGGAGCTTGGCCAGAGGCCCATGGGCGTGTCATCGGTGAGTGCCGGCATTCTTTCTTGGACGATCGCTCGACAATATTTCTTGTGATCTTGCGCTAGGACATGTCAAAGGTGAATAAAGATCGCCTCCAGGAGCTTCTGGACGATGTGAAGAACAAGCGCGATATCAACGATCGCTACGCCGCGGCGCTGCGTGGCCAGATCATGACAGGGCCTCCGGAAGCTCGAGTTCTTCACAAGGGAGGCGGCACGACTTTGCCACCGATTCCAGCTCCAAGCCCAGTCCAGGCAGCGTCTAGCAAGCCACAGCCAGCAACACAGACGGCTTGAGTTGATTCATATCCTTCTTTTCATCGTTTCTTCTTCTTTGTTCTTCACTGAGAATGTTTGCTGGAGTTTTTCCAGGATTATCGATCGCTATGTTCTCGGCATTCCTTTGAATGGATCATACGTTTAAAGCTCACGGAACAGTTTCTTTACGCTTTCACTTTGCTGGAGATTTTTTCTTCGGTTTAAGTGAATCCAGTTGCTTAGGTTGTTTGGTTCTCTTTCTCTCTTATGGCTATGGTGTGCTGCAGCTTGGGACTCGAGTGGAAGGCTAGACCCGGAGTTTTAATCTCTGCCTCTACGGCCCAAGGCGCGAAATCTTCATCCTCCAATATCAAGGTTGGTTCTTTCCATTTTCCTTTCTCGTTGGTTTCACGGTTCCTTGCTCAGGTGATTGTAAGTGGTGCTTGCAAAGACATTGGCAAGGCTGCCATTGCAGCAATCTCGAAATCCCGAGGAATGGAAGTTGCCGGAGCTATTGACACAATACGTGTTGGCGAAGACGTCGGTGAGGTAAAGCTTTCCTTTTTTTCTCTTTCTTTCTCTAGAGTCTTATAGGGAGCTACATTATCAGGTTGCCGGATTGGAAGCACTAGAAGTACCAGTGTCCAACAATCTCGTCACGGTCTTGGGCTCTCTGTCTCAAGTTAGAGTATAGCATTTCCATTTCGTAAGTTTTATATGTGGTATTCTTTCCACAGTCGCGTCCAACCGGAGTAGTGGTCGACTTCTCGGAGGCATCCGAGGTCCTCGAGAATGTAAGACAAGCGACAGCGTTTGGGATGAGGAGCGTGGTTGCGGTGCCAGGTGTGGATTTGGACGTCGTCTCGCAGCTTATCACATTTTGCGAAAAGGCCAGCATGGTGAGATGTGGTGAGTTAAGCTGTGGAGTTTCTCCGTCCTTTGCTTCTCTATCTATGTCTCAGCGTGTGCCTGACTTGCAGGGCTGTGTCATCGCACCAACGCTTTCGATTGGAGCTGTTCTTCTTCAGGAAGCGGCCATTGCTGCGTCTTTCCACTACAGTCACGTCGACATAGTTGAGTCCCAGCAGAGCGCCAAGGTTTGCCACCTCTTTCAAAGTTTACATGGTTGAGATCTTCCTTGCTTTGTATGTAGAACGTTTATCCTTCTTCGGAGGCTCTCAGAGTTGCAAAGAGCATGACCGGCATGGGGCGCGTTTACAACGACTCCGATTTCTCCAAAGAACATCCGGTAAAGTCCAGTGTTCTTCATTTTTTATTCATTTAGATTTCTTAGTCTTCACTGTCCTTGTTCGTGAAGGCAAGAGGCGAGCTCGTAGACGATGGAATTAGGATCCACAGTATGGTTTCACCTGGATTCATTTCAAGCCTCGCCGTAAGCCTTTCAGGCCCAGGAGAGGTAATTTGTTCTCATACTCATACCTTGCGAAAGTTTCTCACCACTTTCCACAGGTGTTTTCTCTGAGGCACGATATAACAGATGTTAAGGCTCTCATGCCTGGGCTCTTGGTTGCCATTCGACGAGTTATCAGGCTTCAGGTAAAAGGACGAATTTGCCAAATCTCATGGTTATCGTTTGATCTTTTTCGCAGTCTCTTGTCTATGGGCTAGAAAAAATACTATGACTGAATCGATGGGTTCCATCAAATCGTTCCGGCCTCCTTTTCCTTTGGTGAGATTATCCTATAATGCATTCAAAAGCGAAGTTTTCTTGTCTTCGGGGTAGTTGTGCAAAATGCGAACTAAAAGAAATAGAAGCTTTAAGTGGAAACAAGTTCGAGATAAACTTCAGGTCGTCTTTGATTCTTCCGTAAAAGTTGGCGGAGCTTTCGCGACACTCGGGCCACCACGGAATCTCTTCGCCCCACTTGCAATCGTGCATTTGCTTTCAGCTCCCCTTTCTTGGATTCCCGTAGCTCAACAGGTTTTTCCATTTCAGATCTCGTCCTAGTTAGAGATGAAGGCTCTCGTTGGAGATGAAGTCCCGGAATATACTTTACGAACACGTCCGCTGGACGCATACCAAACTCCGGAAAGCCCAAAAGAGCCAAGCCATGAATTACAAGCTGCTGGCTGGGAGTGGAGGAAGCACTTTGCTGGAGTCCAAGTTTGTTTCCACACGGAGGTTAGTTATAAGCCCCATGAGCTGGAGTGAACTCATGAGTGAACAGTGATGATCCCTCTGGAATCCATCCATGAGACAGCCCCCCGCGTTTTAACAGAATATAGGTGGGGTTTGTGAATTCCCCTTTATACTCCTCGCATCAGCTTTTGTCCTTTTACCTTGGCATGGCATGCATGCCGCAAGCGCGTAGATCTTCTTCTTCTTCTTCTTATTGTTTGGTAGTATAATGTTTGTACTGTCTTCGCGTATGTGTCAACTGCACGAAGATCGGCAGCAATCTCACGCTCGTCAACTTTGATGGTTTCAAGGGTGGTGGGATTCACTCCAGCGAGGCTACGATTGCATCAAATGTTTCTTGTTGGAGACTAGAACTTAACTGCTTTTGCTAGAAAGTTTTCAGAGTTTTCCAGATAGCGTGCATGCAACTCCTGCTGATGTTGATGCCTGGGCAGAAAAGAGGAAAATCGCAGCCCGTGGTCTTGATCCTCTTTGCCTTTACTTTTTCTTTTCTTTTTATTTTTTTTCATTTTTTGATAATCACACTTTTTGTGGTTGTTTTCAGGCATTCAAGGCTTTCCAAGAATAAATAACCTCTCCGCGAGTGAAAACGAAGCTCCGGCGGGGAATAGGCAGTAGGGATGAATCGATTTCAAGAGAACGAAACAAAAAGTCACCGCGTAACTTTGGCAGCTTGATCGTAGCGGGCAGTACCCGCAGTAGGATGTACTGAGATTCGACCCAACACTCTTTAAACTCTGACCCGGTAAATTCACTCGGCTTTGGATTGATACGTAAGAACTTACTCGCATGGATAAAAAAATCAACGTAGCAAAACACGTAGTTGGTTCCTCCATTTTCTTTTCTGTCCTGGAAGATTTACTGTGGATTGCCCGCGTAAGCGCAGCGTGAGAAAGAGGAGAGACAAAGCGAGAAAGAGTAAAAACAAGAAATAAAGAGCTTTGCGTTGTGAGCTACAGCATTGAGTCAGTCTGGCTGGCATCTCTGGCACTATAAATCTCCACTCCACTCACTCTCATCCCTCATCTCTTTGCTCCTCCTCGAGCTCTTCGTCTCGAGAGCTCTTCACTGCTCTAGATTGAGGAGCATCCCTCAATCGCTCGTCGCGTCGCTCGCTGGCTGCTCCAATCCGATCCGATCGCACCACCAGCAGCACCGGCGATTCTAGATCTCAATTCTCTGCGAGGCTTTCAATCAGTGAGATCGATCATTCCAGCATAGGAAAGACGGAAAAAAGATAAGGAGAACAGGGGGATTTTGCGAGCTCGATCTTCCGGCAAAATGGGGACCAGATTGATGGCTTCCCACAGCTCGATCGCCCTGGGATGGGCTCTAGCACTGGTGACAATCGCGGCATTGGGAGAGATTAATGTGGTGAGCGCGAATTACGATTACTCCTCACCGCCGCCGCCTTATGTGTACAAGTCGCCGCCTCCGCCATCCCCGTCGCCGCCTCCTCCGTACATCTACAAATCGCCCCCTCCGCCGTCTCCTTCGCCGCCACCACCATACGTCTATATATCACCGCCGCCACCATCTCCATCTCCGCCTCCTCCTTACATTTATAAATCTCCTCCTCCGCCATCTCCGTCTCCGCCACCTCCATATGTCTATAAGTCGCCGCCGCCGCCATCTCCCTCTCCGCCACCCCCGTACGTATACAAATCTCCGCCACCTCCATCTCCCTCGTATGTGTATCAATCCCCGCCACCGCCATCTCCCTCGCGGCCTCCTCCATATGTTTACAGCTCGCCACCTCCGCCATCTCCCTCGCCACCACCGCCGTATGTTTACAAATCGCCGCCGCCTCCATCTCCATCCCCACCTCCGCCTTATGTGTATAAGTCTCCACCGCCTCCATCTCCATCCCCGCCACCTCCTTATGTGTACAAATCTCCGCCACCACCATCCCCATCACCACCTCCGCCATATGTATACAAATCCCCGCCACCACCTTCACCATCTCCGCCACCACCATACGTATACCAATCTCCACCCCCGCCATCTCCATCGCCACCTCCTCCATACTACTACAAGTCGCCGCCACCGCCCTCTCCATCCCCTCCACCACCGTATATCTACAAGTCTCCACCTCCGCCATCACCGTCCCCACCACCACCATACGTATACATGTCCCCTCCACCACCGTCGCCATCGCCGCCACCTCCGTACGTCTATAGCTCGCCACCACCTCCGCCCGTGTATTACTATAGCTCTCCTCCTCCTCCATCTTACTATTGATTCGACGAAGCATAAGGACGATGAGCTTCTAGTGTTGCGGATTTGAGTCAGTGTTATCGGATGATGTGCATTAATGAACGTTTGTGGCTTTTGCCCGTAGTTATAGTCTTGGCTGCGTCAGCGAGAGCCGCTGTCTAGATATGTTTCTATTGATTTTCTTTCCCATAGGTGGTGCTATTACCTTCCATCTCGAAATTTTTCTCGAAACCTTTCGAAGTCATGCTCAAGGATTTTCCAGCTGAGCATAAAGCCAGAGTTTGCCTAGGAGATTTTATCTTCTGGACGCTAGAGGCTTCCATTGCTCTGTCTCTGTGCTCCATAAAAGAATGGATGAAGAAAACCTGATGAAGGGCAGCTGCATGTATAGAATAGTTTGTAAATTTATAGCATATACAGCCAGGCCTGGATTGTGAAGAAGTTGGTGCTTGGAATCTCCCGGCGTTCTGTGAAAAGCAAAAAGAAAGGTTGCGATCATTAAAATAATAGCCCCCGTTTACTATATACTCACATGTTGGTTCGGGATCAAGCACTACTTCCACTTTGCTCCTTTTCAGAGATGCCAGCCAGACTGACTCAACGCTATAGCTCACAGCGCAAAGCTCTCTATTCCTTGTTTTTACTCTTTCTCTCCCCCTTTATTTGAATGGGTCGCTTTGTCTCTTGTTCTCACACCGCTCTTGCATCGCTTGCTTCAACATTCTTCTTTGATCTCATCTCTTCATCGCCGCTCCAGCATGCTCCACTGCCACTGTCTCATCTTCTTCCTCTTTGCAGCCTCCTTCACACAATCTTCTCAGCAGCTAGAGCATTCGCAAAAACATCTTTGTCTTCCTTTTTGGTTGCTCCTACCTTCTTTTTGTTTGCTCCAGCAGCATTGCTGTTTCTTGCCATTGAATTAGATAGCTTGATCCTTGTCAAGCAATGCCTTATTATCATTTCTTGGCAGTGGCCACTGGCTTGTGTGTCTTCATGGCTCTTGGCTTTAGTGGCATTGTTTGCTCCTCTTAGTTTTGTCTTTGCTTTGACTGCTGATGCTAATACTGTAATCTAAAATCTAAATTGTCAAAATAGCATAAAATAGAATGTACTTAACTAACTAATAGTGGAGAATTGCTAAGAATTTTTTTTTTCTTATTCTTCAAATCTTGGCACATATGTTTTAAAAATTATAAGCCAATTTATTTAAAAAATGTTTAGATACTATTGTACTTTCACAATTGCAAATGATATAGCTAGTGGATTTATAATCTATCACATATTTAATAATTAAAATATAAAAAATAAAATAAAAATTAATTAATAAATATAAAAAACTCCAATCTAAAAGTGATAAAAATAAAAATTAACTAAATGAAAAATGATTCATTAGTATATCTTATACAAACATAATTAATATAACTTATTTCATTATTATAAATATGATTTTTTGTCATTCATAAAGGCCTTTGCCACTATACCTATACCACTTTTTTATTAAATATTTTATCTCAGTTAAATTTATTGGGTTTATGGGAGTTTTAATTTAAAAAATCATAAAAAAAATGTAAAAATTAGAAAATAATTAAAGAATAATTTTAATTTTGAAAACATTATAAATTTTATGTAAAAATTCTTAACATTTATTATTTTATATTTATAGATAAAGGTTATAAAATTTCTAGTATAATCTTTTAATCTAAAAAATCAGTTGTAATGATTATTTATAAAATATTATTAAAAAAAGATAATCTAGTTAACACCATAAAAATTAATTAAAGTTATTTTTTATAAATTAGTTAATGTATAATAGTAATCAAACACAACTAAACAAAAAATGAAAGCATTAAAAGTATTTTGCACAAATATCTTTTGATCTTGTTGTTCAAACTATATATTGAGTTAACTTGTTTAAGAAGAGTTAAAGTAGAGTAAAAATCCTAAATTAATAAATTAAAGATTCCTCAAACAGGGTTAAGAAAAGTTCCAAGAAAAAAAACAACTTTTGAATACAGAAGAATATTGTTTTACTTACTTTGCTAATTTATCAAAATTTACCAATCTAAGCATATTGCCATTAGTTTATTAAAGAAAACTGAAATGCCAACAAGATAATTGCTTGCTAGTCTATTAAGTGGCACTAGCCAAGATTGGTGTGATTTATATGTATATGCTTCTCCTGAGCTAGCTGTTCTTTGTTCATTGAATCGCAACTATAAAGTTTTTGAAACACAAAATGGGAATGGAAATCTGGATTCTATTCCTCACAACCACCATGCTGTTTTTATAAAAGAGCAGCACATGCTGAAAACTCTGCCGCACCTGGACTTCTCAAAGCCAGACACGCAGCAAGAGTACCACAAGTTTCTGGATTGTCTCGGAAAGCAAGTGCAACACTCTTGAATTTCCAGCAAAACTTTGGCAGTTTTTTCTTTCCTTGCGAAGGGTTGTTGCAATGCAGCCCTGTGAGGAGCTTTGGTCGCGCGTCCCTCTCCAAAACCAAGAGGGTTTAACGCCTCTTTAAAGCAACTTATGGCATGCCTGGAAAGCCAAGAAATGGAATTCTCCACATTTGGGTGCGCAAACCTTTGTGTTTTGGTGCCATTGGGAGGCTTGGATTGGATCCTGCACCCAAATCAAGTCACAAAAGCAATGGTTTGAATGTCCGAAAATTTTGACCTGAAATATAAAAAAAAGTTGTAAGTTGTGCGAGAGTGAGTGGCTCCAGCGATAAAGCCATGTTTTGCAGCTAACCAATCAGTTGGGAGCGTTGTCAACCCCGGCCTGCCCATTCCACCACAAGCGTTCATCGTGGCCGTTGCTTCGGCATCAATGATTAATTCGTAAATTGGTAAAAAGACACGATTTTCCTATCGACGCTCGGGGTGAATCGCGCGCGGAGGTGGCAGGCGCCAGGGCCGTCGGATGGCCAGCATGGAATTTAAAAAGGTAGGTCACGTGTTACGGTGGTAGTAAAAAAAGGCAAGTAATCGATTTACTGCCCTTTTTTTCTTCCTCTCTCTTTCTTATGCTTTGGCTGTGGTGGTGTGTCGTTCATCTTCCATTTCTTTGTGCGCGTCGCGTCGTCGGTGGGCGAGTGCTTGATCTGGCGCCTCGCGAGCTCTAGGTAGATCGCGGCTGGCCTCGGCGCGTCTGCGATAGGTATGGTGGCGCTCGATCTGGCGCCGGCGAGGGCGCTGTGCCACGATCTGGTGATCCGGGGCTAGGGCCGAGCAGGGAGATCGATATTTCGGGGCGGCGCAGGGATCTTGCGGCGGCTGGGGCGAGGGAGGAGCTGCATTTTGGGGGAATCCGGGATTAGGGCGTGGGGATGAGACAAGCGGCGGAGGGGTTCGATACCTGCTGTTGCCGCTGCCGGTTGCCATCGCCGAATTGCCAGAATTCTTCTATCTGGGACACGAGGGGGGTGCCGCGATTTGGGAATTCCCAGCTTGTGGAAGCTAGCGCTGTCAAGAACAAGGATGTTTTGTGGGAAGCCTGGGGATTGAGGGGCCGCTGCGGTGGATCATCACTGGATGCTTGCTCTTGCGTCGCGGCATTGCTGGGCAGCACATGGGTGGCACCCTCTTAGAGGGTTTTCGGCATTGGATCAATCGGCGCTTGGCTCAAGTTGACAATTCTCCTCCTCCAGCAGAGGCCTCGTCTGGGCCAAACAATTCCGGATCTCAGCGCCACCTGCGCTTGCAGCAATCCCTTACAGGGCATCACGCTATGCAGCAGGGAGCTGATTCGCGTCGCAAGGTGAGACAGTGAGTGGAGTGTTTTATCCTCTTTTCCATTTTGTTTTTCCGCTTTGGAGCTTCCATAGCTAGGTAGTTTCTTACTGTTCACTTGGTGGTGGTTTTGATTCGTTTGCTTCTTGTGGGCTCCGCAGACTATGGCTGAGACTGAGTTCTTCACTGAGTATGGTGAAGCAAGTCGTTACAAAATCCTAGAGGTTATAGGCAAGGGCAGCTATGGTGTCGTCTGCTCGGCTACTGATATGCATACTGGAGATAAGGTTGCCATCAAGAAGATCAACGACATATTTGAGCACGTTTCAGATGCTACTCGCATTTTACGTGAAATCAAGCTTCTCAGGCTGCTGAGGCACCCGGATATCGTGGAGATCAAGCACATCATGCTGCCACCCTCCCGACGGGAGTTCAAGGACATTTACGTTGTCTTTGAGCTGATGGAGTCGGATCTGCATCAAGTGATCAAAGCAAATGACGATCTGACACCGGAACACTACCAGTTTTTTCTTTATCAGCTGCTACGAGCTCTGAAGTATATTCACACAGGTTTGCAACTTCTTGGTTATTCTTCAGTGTGCAATTCTCTGTTTCTTCTGTGCTCTTGATGCAGCGAATGTGTTCCATCGAGATTTGAAGCCAAAAAACATTCTTGCGAATGCCGACTGCAAGCTAAAAATCTGTGATTTTGGACTTGCTCGAGTTGCTTTTAACGATGCTCCGACGGCCATCTTTTGGACAGTAAGTGCATCAAACAAAGGATGGACATATCTGACTCTCCTTTTTTTCAAGGATTATGTTGCGACTAGGTGGTACCGAGCCCCCGAACTATGTGGCTCCTTCTTTTCCAAGGTGATTGTGACATTGAAGTGTAACTCCAAGTAGAGTCTAATGTTTACTTTGTGGTCTGCAGTACACGCCAGCAATTGATATCTGGAGTATTGGCTGTATATTCGCTGAAATCTTGACAGGAAAGCCGCTTTTTCCTGGAAAGAACGTAGTACACCAATTAGACCTCATGACAGATATGCTCGGAACGCCGTCGGCTGAATCTGTTGCCAGGGTTAGACTTTATTGTTTGTGTGATCGCCCGTAACTTTTGAATATTCCAGGTTCGAAATGAGAAGGCTAGAAGATATCTTAGTGGGATGCGAAAAAAGACGGCGATTCCATTTACTCAGAAGTTTCCGAATGCTGATCCCTTGGCGCTGAGGCTTCTTGAGAGATTGTTAGCTTTTGATCCTAAGGATCGACCGACGGCTGAGGAGGTAAATATATTTCTCCAGATTTTTTATGAGCAGGTTGTTAAGTTTGTCTGTTTTTTATCAGGCTTTAGCAGATCCATACTTCAGGGGACTGGCGAAAGTAGAGCGCGAGCCCTCTGCACAACCTATAACAAAAATGGAGTTTGAATTTGAGCGCCGAAGAATCAGTAAGGACGATGTGAGGGAATTAATTTATCGTGAGGTAGGCCAGTGTCGTGTGCCAGAGAGTTTTTTGATACTGATACTTTACCCTCTGCTTCAGATACTTGAGTATCATCCTCAAATGCTAGAGGAGTATCTCAACGGAACTGATCATGCTAACTTCATGTATCCAAGGTCTGACTGCCAAGTTTTCCATTTCCGCTAATAATCGTGCAATTGCAGTGCTGTCGACCAGTTCAAACGGCAGTTCGCTCAGCTTGAGGAGCACTACGGTAAAGGTGGTCACAATAATGCTGCTGTGGAGCGCCACCATGCATCGCTTCCCAGGTTTGAAGCTTTCCTCTTCATTGTAAACGTCATCCTAAAACGCATCAACATAACAGGCCGGCGACGGTGTACTCCAGCACTGCTGCTGCTGCAAGTGACTGTTCTAGCAAGGAACGAGAATACCACGACTCGGGGAAGTTCTCGGAGAAGCCTCAGCAGGAGAAGTCGACTAGAGCGCCACAGAAAGGTGGTTACCAAGGCAAGTTAAGTGCCCGAGACGATGTATCGCCCTGACGGTTTGCGTCTCCACAGGTGGTTTGGCAGCAAAGCCAGGCAAAGTGGTGAACTCCGGAGTGTCGGTCGTGACCCGAGACACGGTTGATGCGAGAAGGTTAGTGAAAAGCGCGAGCATCAGCAGCTCTCTCCAGCAATACACAGCCTCTGTTTATTCTTATGGGAGGAGAACGTTTGCTAAGTCCGACCGAGATGATAAGAAGGATAACACTGGCGAGTTTGTGGCAGTCCAACCCAAGGCGGCGGCGGCGGCGGCAGCAGCAGCAGCGACGGAGGCCAAGAGCATCAGCGGCATGACAGCAACTCGCAAGGTAGCAGCAGCAGTGCAAAATGGTCGAACTTATTGACGAGAATACGATTGAGGAAGACAACGACGAAGACGATGAACAAGGATGGAAGAAGACGATGAGATCATCCCTGTTGTGTAACTGATGGTGAAGATATCGAGTGTTTGCGCGAGATGATCGATCGACCGGGGAGGAGGCAGAAAGAGACGAAGAACAAGAGAGACGAAGAGAGAGACGAAGAACAAGAGAAATTCTTTCTATTATTTTTTTCTTTTTCTTCCGTTGTGTCCGTACGGTATTGGAATATTTCCGTTATGGCGCGTATCTTCAAAAGTTTAGGGCTAGGGCTTAGCTAGGGCGATGCGATGCAAGGGGCGATTATCGCGCTCCCCACGACGCCGCGCTACAAGGAGAGGAGTGGCGCTGCTGCGCCACAGCGCTGGAGGGACGATCGAGATGCTTGTGCGCCCCGGATGGATCAGCATCGGCGGCGCCCGGATTCCTCCGCGCCGCATTACATCAGTCCGGTGCTGCTGCGGCTCATCGCCTCCAATGCGCCGATGGAGCTGGATGTCTTCAGCGATCTCGTGCGCAGGAGCAAGGTGCGTGGTCTATATGGTTACAGGGTTCGCGAGCGGCAGTGCTTGCGTAAGCCGCAGCGGCCGGCGAAGGATCCCGTGGAAGAGCTGCTGGAGACGATCCGGGAATACAACAAGATCAGTGAGGATTTGGATGGAGGAGCTGAGAATCCTGGCAAGGATCAAAATAGTCTAGACAGACGTAGAGAAAGGGACAAACACGAGAATGCTACCTGTAGTAGTAGCGATAGGATTTCCAGGGAAGGACAGTCGAGCAGGGATTTCGAGAAATGCAGAGAAAGAGGATGGAATCGTTCTGCCGGGGGATCGAGGAATGCAAAGAGGAATAGTAAGCAGTGGAGTGGAAGGAGTAGTAAAGAAAATAGCTGTGGTGGAAGGAGCTGTAGCAGGGAGTGCGTTGAGAGGTATTCCAGAGAAAAGGACTGCTTTGAGAAGCCCCGCAGTAAAAGCAGGCATCAAGAGAGACCGTTTTCGGCTAGAGAAGGTCGCTGTGCCAAGGAGAGTAGTCTTCTTGCAAAGAGGCCTTGGTCTGCTAGAGATGAGTCTCCTGCGAGAAAAGCCAGGAGCAAGAGTGAGCTCTATGATATGGACGGTTCCGTCGACGATGGTAGCAAGTCTTCTTCGCGAGATGGTCCTGCGTTTGAGTCTCCACCGAAGAGGGGCAAGAGTAAGCAGCAGAGTTGGCAGGGTGCTCCGTGCGACTTTGGCCACTCCTTTCATGACGAAGAGCTTATCAAAGCCGGAAGTAAGCACCGTGCCGTTGCTTGTGACCAGGACGAGAAAAACTTGCATAAGGAAGATGTTCCTCCGGCCAGGCCCTCGCTACAGGAAATTCGGTTCAGACCCGCTTCAGCTGGACCAGTTTTGACGTCCGAAAGAGCGAAGCCACTGTGGTTTAGACAAGCCAGTGTGAAGGCTCTACTGGCACTGGAGAGGAACTTATACACGAAGCTGAATATAGCTGACACCAAGGGGCTGAGCAGCAACTTTGACGAAACAGAGCAGGTATCTTTGCACTTGCGGAGCTCCAAATCGAGGATCAAAGACGAAGAGTTCACGTCAGGCTGCTTGAAATCAACGAGCAGTAAGCATAGTTTAAGTAGCAGCCATGCTAGGCCCGTGACTGCACCAGTGGTAGTAAATACCACTTCTGAGATTGCTGCAGCAGCTGAGAAGGTCTTTCCGGACAACACTTCGAACGCTCAGAGCAATCAGCTTCACACTTTTTCACCAAGAAAGAGCGTGGTGGAAAATGCAACCGATCTCCAGGGAGTCCAGCATGCGTGTGTTGATAGTGCGGTCTGCTCAACGGATGTAGATTTTCCTATAACGAGAAAGTTTGTCGAGGATAAGAGGTGTTTCACTGCTCCAAGCTCGCTCGACACACCAAGAAAGTCGGGGGGATCACCGAAGAAACTCCCAGCTGCGAAGGAAGTTGACGAAGATTTGGCAGCGAGCGACGACGAGGAAGAGAACGATGTTTTCAAGGACTACGTTCAGAATGGCATGCCAGACAACAATGAAGCTGCTGAGGATGCACCAAGCACTTGCTCGTCTGACTACGAGGGCGCGGATATAGAGGAGGTTTTGCAGGAAAACGCGAAGCCTGTAGAACAGGAAGACAACCGAAACCGTGCTTGCTTCCTCAAGCTCAAGAAGAAAGGTGTCAATATCGCGGAGGACGTGACAGACTTGTTCAAGGGGGTTCACGAGTCCCTTCTGGTGTCCTCGAAACTGGCCGAGGTGGTTGATCTGTGCTCCAAGCGTGGCCAGGAACTGCTTAGAGCCCGGGAATCTATGGTCAGTACTGAGAAGGCTCCAGAGAGAAGTCGATGGCCGTTCAGGCTCCATCGAACAAGGCAGTCGAGGGCCAACCGACGTGCCTTGCGAGCGGAGTTGAAGTGGTCCATCTTCTCCAATGGTGGAAAGCTCAGAGCTTTAAATCCGATATATGGTGGAAAGAAGTTCATCCCACAAAGGATAAGGTTCGTCTCCGGGGGTGACCATCATGCTGAGGTACTTTGCTTTGCCTTAACAACACCTCTACAACCTTTTGCTTAGAGTTTTCTTATATTCTCAGATTCCTAAGCAATCGAAACGGCCAGCTACAGCTCCAGCCGACGTGCAAAGAGCGCCGAGGTTTAAGCTGGCTTTTGTTTGTGATTCTAATTTATTCTCTTGTTTAGCAGGGAAGATACTGTACACGATAAACATCCAAATGTTTCTTCTAACGGAGTTCGACGCACAGAAGGCATTGGTCCTTGGACTCCAACTCCAGAAGCAAACAACACACGGTTTCACCAATTTGATGCTGCAAAGCACCAGGTACAATACCTGCTTTGTTAGTCAGCTTATGCTGGCTGTGTTTTCAGAAGAAGAGACTGCCGCTGGAAACTCAAAAGGATTTTCAGCAGTTACAGATTTCGGAAGCCGTGACTGCGTTTATCTGTGCTGCCAAGCAAAAGTTTTCATGGTAAGTTCCTGTTGGAGAAGTTTCGTTCAAGCCATTTTAAGTATTGCTCTCTTCAGATCAAAACAGCGTGGGTTCGCTTTGAAACGAGCTATTAAACCACGGCCGACACAGATGCAAGCTCTTCGACATTGATTGGCGACGCATAGGCTGTGGTCCCGTTGTAAAAGTCGGTGGCAATAACCATGTTGGCCGCTTCCGTGGGATGGAAAGGATCCCAGAACAGGTACTCTTTCCTATTACTGCACAGGTTTGATATTGGCATGCAAGCGAGGAGGCCATTGAGTCTTCCAAGCCCGCAGCAACCTTCGTCCGTCACCTTAAAACCTGCGAGAACAAGCAACGCGTAGAAAACTGCTTGCTCAGTGAAGAGGCACACGTACCATATGATGCAGGCGACTTGACCATGTCGATGAACCTGTCGTAGCCATGTGCGTACGCGAACCGGACTTTGGGAAGCTGCTTGAGCAAAATTCCACTGAGCTGCCTCTGGAGTGCCGCGTTGAAGCCTTGGACATAGCTGTTTACTTGAGGATTGCATTTCTGGTCAGTGGTTCTCATCAGCTGGTTGGGAATGCAACCGAGTGGGCCGACTCCAAAGACAACCATTTTCCTGGCTCCGAGGTCGTACAGACGCTGCCCAGCGAGAGAAACCAAGTCAGCGGAAGGAAGAAACTACCAAAGAGAAAGAAAAGGACATCGAAAACTCACGGATATCTGCTGCGAGTACGTCGAGATCAGCATGTCCTGGAACTGAGATGTGTTATACAGCGACGGGGTCGGGGAGAAGGTGACGAGATAGTTGTTGATATAGTCGTTTGCTCCGAAGGCCACCATATAGATCGAGTCCGCCAGGAACTTGTTGGCCGCGTCCATTCCCAGCTCCGTGACGTAGCGCTGCTTCGTGCCGGCGAAGTAGACGAGCTGCTGGTTGAACGAGAGCCTGGCAATCTGGAAGACAAGGCAGCAATGAGGAAGAAGTACTTGACAGGGGTGGGAACTTACGTAGTTTGCTCCAGTGGCATCCAGAACGCCCCCAGCTCCGGAAGCGTAGTTTAGTCCGCGAGAAATGTCTTTGATCGTCAAGTTGGGGGTCAGGTACGCTGGAGGTGGGGGGACTTCGAGGTACTCGCCTGAAAGTCAAGAGGAAAGGTCAGGCAGGATGCAAAGTTGGCCATACCGAGGAAATCAGGAATGGTGCGACCATTGCAGAACCTCCCGGTGGGAACGCCGTGGTTGTAGTCGATACCATTGTAGCGGACGTCGGCTTTGGCGAGTGAGTTGATGTAGTTGTTATTGCCAACGTCGATGAGCGAGTCCCCGAAGATGAACAGAGCTGGGACATTGGCAGCGTGGAGAAGGCAGGCGGCATTGGAAAGAACAAAGGCCAGGAAGAGTTGGAACTTTGGAACTCCTCGCTGCTCCATCGAGGGACGTGTCCTGCTGGAGTTCATCGAGTTAAGTGCTTGCAACTATCTTTCGCTGCTTACCACTGACGTCGGGAGCTTCTCTAGATCTCGTCCTCGGCGACAAGAACGAACGTAGAACTGATGAGCGCGCTGAGTGCTTCCTCGAGGAACGCACACAACTTGAAGAGCAGCCCGACGTTGAACATACGGGCGTGACTTCTCACACCCCTCCTTGTTGCTGCTCTTCTTCGTGCTCCAGCTCTGGGAAGCAAGAACTCCCGGCTTGCTATGTAGCCATCCTCGTCACCAGTGGAAGTAAGTCGCTCAACTGCTTTTTTATTTCCCAAGACTCACGGTCCGGAATAGGTGCTGCTAACCACGCGAGCTGCTGACGATTGACGAGTGGTGGTGGAGCTTGGATCCCTCTGGAAGGCCCAGCGGAATTTCTTCTCCACTCTCGTCATCCTCGTCACCATAGCGGTTGTTGGTGACGGTGTACATCTCCCATAACTTAATACCGCAGCGGCCGAGAGCTGCGTTAACTCGCTCGCTGTGCTGCTCGCCGGGCCACATTCCATCCGGCGACACCAGCACGGCACCCGAGTATGACTGCCCCGCGGCCGTGGCGGCGCCACTGTAGTAGAAGAGCCCCCAGGAGAGATCGTCGGCGCAGTCGACTATCCGCCAGAACTCCTTCGAGACGACGCCGTTGTCGAGAACTGTGAAGTAAAAGGTGCCGGGAACCTCTCCTCTGCGAGCACGGTAGTGTCTTCTTCTCCACACCAGTTCTCCCTCTAACGTCTCCACTTGGAACACAGGATCGTACCACATCGAGTTCTTGGTCCCGCGGTAGTAGAGCTGGATCTGGTTTGCGAAGTGATCGTAGGCAGCGTTCTGGCCAGCGGCCACCCTCCAGCTCCACTTGAGTGTCCCCAGCCAGCCGATGAAGATGTCCTCGGCCAGAGTGTGAGTGAGTTCTTGTCCCCGGAACTTTTCTAGCGGCTTCACCACCGGCTGGCTCTGGATCTCGGCGCTCAGTCCCAAGCAGTTGTTCTTCTGGAGGATGCACAGCGAGATGGCCTCGAGCGTAGGCGTCTCGTACGAAACGATACAGCGGTAGCTGCAAACTTGGTCGTTTGGAGCACAGCTCGTCAGGCAGTCGAGCGCCTTGCGGCAACTTGGATCCAAGAGGCAAGCCAGAATCTCCTTCCCGCAGTTCTTGGCCATGCACTGGATTTGTGACAAGCTCGTGGCTCGCAGGTTTTTCAGCAGCGGCACGGGAGCTACGTACGAGTCGATGAGAACCAGGAGCGCGAAGCACACGTTGTCGCTGCTGTGACGGCTCCAAGCGTTGGTGACAAGGTCCAGAACCTTCAAGCCTTTGGCGAGCTTCGTTCCTGGGACGATCGAGCGCAGCCGGTCCACCGGGCTCTCCAAAGGCAAAACTTTGACACCTCCCAGCCAGGTACCGGAGTTGTCCGTGGAGTCGAAGCAAATCCTCGTAGGCACTGACGAGCTCGCGCTGTTGATCCAGCTTACAGTGTCGGGATTTCCGAGCCCGAGTCCCAGGAGTATATCAGCTTTCGCGACCGCCGAGGAGAACTCTCGATTCTCTGGAAGTGATTCGTCCGTGAAGACGAGCATCTCAAAGCTAGCATCAGTCCAGCGAAGTCTCTTCACCTGGAAAGAAGAGAAAGAAAAGCGAGGTGGATGAATCAAGGAGAATTAAAACCATACCATATGGTTCATGACTTCCAGCCATGGTGTTTCCTGGAGGGGGCTCACGGCATTCTCTCCAATCACGGCAACGAGCTTGGCGGCGGCCGTGGGCGAGAATGGAGGCGCTGGAGGCGAGCTGAGCGATGAGGAAGAGGAGGCAAGCGCGCATCGATGCCGCCGAGAGCCTGCCAGATGTGTACTCTTGCTGCCGATGCCTGGACCCGCGATCGCTGATCTTCCTGCCGCCAAAATCGCGATTCATGACACAATCGATCGAGAGACGTAGCGTACCTCCATGAAGAACCGACACAAGCGCCATTGGGGTTTAGGGTTTATCTTCCCTTTAAAAAAGAGGATATTTTAATATTCGTTAAGAATCCTCTCCTCGATCGATCTTCATGACAATCCAAATGCCGAGTGTGAGAATCAAGATCAAGGCTATAGGAGGAGAATGGACGAGCAAGGGCAATTCATCGCGTATAAAATCGCGAGCTCTTTTTCCAGGGGTAAAAGGACGTGACCAAATTTTAGGTTTTAGGGTTCTTCGTCCAGCCCCTGCTCGCCGGGAGGAGATGGGACTTTTGGTCCCATTGTCACAGATTTCTCCAGTGCTGGTTGGAATTATCGTCGTGGTAAGGCTCCCTCCTTCCTCTTCGAGTTTTTTTTTGAGAGAATGGAGATCAGGTGTTCTCCAGCGCGCTATGGCTCCTCAGCTACATTGTGGAGTGGACGCAAAAGCTCGATCAAGGAAGCGGGTAAGCTTGTGCTTCGATCGGCCTTTTTTTTCTCTCTTGTGGCTGAGGCCTCGTTGTTCTTTCAGGACTACAACACCAAGTTTCTTGGAGAATCCCTCGTCCCTTGAGAAGGTAGCTCCATGTTCTTGTCCAAAAATTTTTCTGAGCTTTTGTATCGTAATAGGTGCGATGTCCTTCGGTGTTTGGACCTCCCGAGAAATATTTGTCTCTCGTGATTCCGGCCTTTGATGAAGAGGCAAGGCTTCCTCTCACTCTCGACGAAACCTTGAGGTTCTAAAAACTTATCTTTCTGCCTTGAAAATCTTTCTCTCCCTTGGATTCTTCAACGTTTTTTTTCCTTTGCAGATATCTGGAAGGCCGCGCTGCTGTAAATAAGTCATTCACTTACGAAGTGAGTAGTTTAGAGTTCTCTAGTGGTTTTTTTTTTTCCTCTTCTTTTTTCTAGTTTTTTTTGTACATCGTGTTTTGTTTTCGCAGATTATTATAGTCGACGATGGAAGTCGAGACAACACTGTAAAAGTAGCATTCGATTACATCAAGAAGTATAAGATGGACAACGTGAGGCTCATCAAGCAAGGCGTCAATTGCGGGAAAGGAGCCGCCGTCACCAAGGTATTTCTTTCTTGTTTGATAACTCTATCCGTCGATTCATGCGTCGTGCTGTTGAAGGGAGCTCTCTGCTCTAGAGGAGAGCTCATTCTGATGCTGGATGCGGACGGGGCAACTAAAATCACAAACTTAGAAAAGCTGGAAAATGCTGTAAGTTCCTGGACGATCAGAAGAGCAAGTTTTGGCACACTTACATCTTTTGTTTTGCTTTGTTTTTGTCACTGCAGATTCTGACGTACGGGGAGAAGATACAAAAGCTACGTGATCCTTCCGTGGAAAACATCTTTGACGTCCCCTTGGTTGCCTGCGGGTCACGCGCACATCTAGAACAACAAGCTCTAGCAACGGTAGATACGCTTTCCTTCTTTTCTTCTTCCTTGAAGTTTGAACATCACTGAAGATCACTTGGCTTTCTTTTCGCAGCGCAAATGGTACAGGAACTTCCTCATGAAAGGCTTCCATCTGTGCGTCCTCCTTGCTGCCGGCTCTGGAATCCGAGACACTCAGGTTTGTTGTTATAGTTTTCAGTGTTCATGGAAAATGGAAACTTTATTTACCGAATTTTCTTCCATCTCCAGTGTGGATTCAAGATGTTCACGAGGTCCGCGGCACAGCAACTTTTCATCAATCTCAGGCTCACGCGGTGGTGCTTCGACGTGGAGCTCTTGTACCTGTGCAAGAGATTGGGGATCCCAGCGCTAGAGATTGCCGTGAACTGGACAGAGATCCCCGGCTCCAAGCTGAGAATGACCAGCATCCTCCATATGCTCTTCGAGCTGCTGCTCATTCGTATCGGCTACGGCTTCAACGTGTGGAAAATCCACCAAAACCTTGTACAAACCAGCTGAGAAATTTTCTAACGAAATAGAAGCTTTAACTGAAATAATAAGCAATAATAATGTTTGACTTGATATAAAAAATATCAAAATATTTCCAAAACAAAATATATTACTAACTAGTTTTGGAGAGGACTTAGTTCTGGCGGGGGTCGAACCCGCGACCTTCGGCTCATAAGACCAACGCTCTGACCAATTGAGCTACAGAACTTGGACGCTCTAACGCATCCTCCAAATTATTTTTGACTCCCAAACTTGGCGCAATTCTACCATAGAAATGAGCTGTCAAATTTACCTGCCAGAGAAGATTATTCCTCCATGGAGGAATCTCTCCGCTTATTAACAATTATTCCGTCTCCCCTGACTGACGGGGACTTGACGGCGGCGGGCGGTCCGACCTTCCCCCGACATACGTACCTGCGACGGCGTTGTATACTCAGTAAAGTTAAAACCTGCGCCAGCCAGTAAAAGATTAATATTCTATCTTTTCACCTTGCGCTTAATCATTTTGAATTAGCACAAAGCTGCTAACGCTTACTCGTTTTACAGCTTGGGTGCTACATAGATACGTACCCATTACTTAACTATACTAAATATTTATTATACTTAATCTAATGAAATCTCCCTCATGAAAGCAACCCACACACACTCACACACACACACACACGGACGTACGTTTTATGGGCTAGATTCCCGTATGAATATTCCCCACCACCTTGTCATTAACTACCTCTCCTAGGACATCATACTCGGGTGGATAGAGACACGTCAGACTACCTGACACGTGGCATCACCCGGGCCGTGGATTCCCCACCTGAGGGTAACGCCGCCATTTTTTTTTATTCGGGGAATATGCGCCGGGGCTTATATAAATTTCTCCCGTGTTCTTTAGCTTGGATTTCTTCTCCACTGATCAGTCGCTTGGAGCGTGTGCTAGGGCGATGAAGCGAGCGCGATGCGATGGCAGCGATGGAGCGGCGGCGGCGGTGGTAGCGAAGCCTTCGCCTCTTGCTCCTCCGGCGGGCGAGGGGCGGTATCGGGGCGTGCGCCGGCGGCCGTGGGGGCGCTACGCGGCGGAGATCAGGGATCCCAGGAGCAAGGAGCGGCGATGGCTGGGCACCTTCGACACCGCCGAGGACGCGGCGATCGCCTACGACAATGCCGCCAGGGCGATGCGCGGCGCGCGAGCAAGAACGAATTTCCAGTATTCTTCTTCCTCTTCTTCTCCTTCTCCTTCTTCTCCGCTCGCTTCCTCCTCATCGTCTTGCTCCGGGTGTTATTCCTCGGGGCCGACGCTATCGCAGTGCTCCTCGAATTTGGCGGCGCCGATGGCCCCTCTCCCGGCGACCATGGAGCTCGTCCAGCGCGGGCCATTCTTGCTTCCCAGGATCGCCCAGGGCTTCGGGCAAGCGCCGAGCCAGCCCCTCCAGCACCACCGCTGGCCGATCTACGATTCGAGCAACATGTCCTCCTCTCCTTCTTCTTCCTCCAACGCCAAGAGTTCTTCCATCCAGCCATCTCTTTCCACCAACATCCAATCCGCCGCTACTGCCACTACTGCCACCACCACTACCACCACTCCGATCAAAAGCACTGGACCTTTGTCTCCGCGGGATCTTTGTCCAGATCGTCACTCCTCGAGCAGCAGCACTGCGAGCTTCGAGAGGCATCACGACCGTTCTTCCTCCTCCACGTCGTCTCTATGGCTCCAAGTCGCGGCTCAAATGCAAATCCAGCAGCAAGATCATCCTCCCGAGCAGCGGCTCTCCCCGGACGAGATTTGCAGTGGCTTCATCTTTGACGCTAGCAACTTAAACATCCCCAGCTTGTATGAGGTGAGCTGTGGACTTTGGAGTGACACCATAGCCACCACCAACAGCTCATCCTCGTCGCGCGAGTTTAATCTCGGCACCACCACTGCCACTCCCTCGAGTTCTTGCAGTGCGATCCAGCCGCAGGTGACGATCGCCCAGCAGCAGCAGGTAGCGATTCCTGCAGCGTCTCCTCTTCACGATCATCGAGAGAAAGAAGATCGTCCGAATCAGGATCAACAAAACGGCGGCGGCGGCGGCGGCCAAGTCAGGAATCTCACCGACGAGATTATCGACGACGTCGAGAGTTTTTCATCATCGCTGCTCGGTGACGAATCCACGTTGATGTATGACATGCAGCTCCTCCAAGGCCTGGTGTGCATGCAATCCTATCTGGATTGATCGCGACGCCAAAAGCGAAGCTTTTTCTCTCTTCTCTTTTGTTTTTGGTTCTTCGTGTGGGTTTTTTACGCCATCCCCCCCACCTGGTGGTACTGCTTTTACTGTAAAGAAAACTGCTGGATGCGGGGGATGATTAGCGAAGTACTTACTTTTATTACTACAGTAAAAAGAAAAACATGTTAAAGCACCGTACCAAGATCCTGGGAATTTATTGACACAAACTCGGGCAGTATACTTACAAACTTTGCTTTCTTCGTCGTGTACATTCATAGATATACATATGTGCTTGCCATGCTTCAGTAAAGAAACGGTATTAACGCCTTCCTGTTCTTGGGATAGTTCTCGAACTTGGACAGATACCACTCATGTGTTTCCTTGGCGGCCAGATAGAGATTTGAGAACTGGACGAAACAAAATAAAAAATCACGATCAAATTTCCACCTTTATCGACAAAAAAAGAAAAAGAAAAAAAGAATTTAGTACCACCCAGGCGAGTAAAAACCATATCGTAGCTTGCGTCCCTCCACTTGCAAACACGAGGCCGAAGTACATGACCTTTCCAAAAAAAAAAGTAGAGGAGTTTAAGTCGGAAGTATGATGCGAAGCTCCGGGGGAATGAACTTACGATCTCGGAGAGGTAATGAGCACAGGAAACTTTGTCAAACCAGTCCCCATATGGTATCACGTACGTTTTGCCTTCTCCTGACTCTTCTTCGCTCGAGAGCGAGGCCTAGAGAGTAAAAGCAAAGCCCGATTAAGGAGCCGGCCTTTCCAGAAGTCCAGAAAACGAGGAGCACTTACCAAGATCTGATGGCACTTGTACTGGTGGTACCACCCCCATAGAAAGAGTAGCGCACCCAGCCACTGGTACCAGTTCAGCCTCCACGGTGAGTAATGGAAACATTCCCACCACCGCGTGTCGGGGTTCCAAGCGCACGAACTCCGTAACCGGCCCTGTGAGACCGTGCCGAGAGTGTTGATCATGATCTCTCCGATTTCTTGGCAGCACAGCGAGAGCGGAGCTGCCACATAGAAGCTGAGAAAAGTAAGCTCTCCAAGTCCGGAAACTCGAGAAAACCAAAAGCAGTGCTACTCACAAGAGTCCGACGAGGTAGCCGAGGAGATGCATCCGAGCGTCCGGGCCATAGGATAGAACCATCAGGGACTCGTAAAGCCTCCGGCACACCTGGAGCTCCATAAGGAGTAGCAAAAGGACGACCGTCCAGCCCCGTTGCTTCTGCTTGGCCATGGACGGGATGGAGCCCGAGCCGGCGGAAGCTCCAGCCCCGGTGAATTGCTCGACCAGCGCCGAGAACTGGATTCCATCTGATGCTGATGATAGTGTACACATGCACGACGAGAGTGTGGCCGCGGCGAGCAAAAGAGTGTTCCAAGTCACACCAACAACGTAGAAGTGCGTGAAGAAGCTCTGTGGAACAGTGAATCTCTGCAAGGAAAATGTAAGTTGACACTGTTGGAGTACGTGGAGAAAAAATCCACAGTTGGTTTCTACCTAAGGGAAAGGAAGCTATGGAAGTGAATTGAAATGGAAAGGAAAATTGAAGTTGGCACTGTGGAGTGTGGAGAAAAAAATCCACAGTGGAGAAAGCTATGGTTTCTACCTAAGGGAAAGGAAGCTATGGAAGTGAATTGAAATAGATGGAGTGTGGAGTATGTCGACATGAGAAAAATCCAGTGGAGAAAGCTATGATTTCTTCCTAGCTATGGAACTATTAATTAAATGCTTACCTTTGACGAAGAAGAAGAAGAAGAATGGAGGAGCTTTCCTCTACGGCAGCAGGCAAGCACCAGAGATCGGAGAGGATGGAGCGCTTTAATTGGCAGCGCCGCCGCGACACAGATTAAAGCAGCGCCGAGCCATGCAGCGCCCAGGTGCCTATCGATCTCCGCGAAATCCATCTGGAAACAAACATACGAGAGAAATTTAGCAATGTAGAGATCCATACCGTGATCGCAAACATCAATCGATCCAGAAATCTGTGATCGGAAGAAAACCCTAGAAAACCCCTGTGGAACTTACTCGCTCTACACGTGTCGTCTTGCTGTAATCCCAGCTGGTGGCCTGAAAGGCCGCCACCTCATCTCTCACTGTGCGACTTTCTTTTCACAGTGTTTTCTTAGGGTTTATGTGATCGCGCTCTTCTTTGCGGGAGATTTGCACGTCATTCCAGGTATGATCGTCGCGTAGCAAGATCGCGGCGACGCATTTCGCATTTCTTGGCCGATGCGCTCTTCTTGCAGCTGCCGATCGGCGAGTTTCTCTCACAGATCAGGGATTAGGGACTGCCATGGCGTCGGAGGATCTACATTCGGAGCTCGTGAGGCTGTGGAACGAGCACGAGAGGGTTCTGTGCCAGCGGGGCGTCCCCTCAGGGATCCAGGAGCTCCTCAACTCCGCCTTCGCGAAGATCCCAGTTTCTTACTTCCCGGACGTGCCGTCTGGCGAAGGTATGAGAAATTCCCATCGTAGGAACTCTACTGAAAAAAAAACTTCTTTGCATGATCGTGGATCACAGTCGTGGAGATCGCAGCTGATACAACCATCGCCGACACCGTTCGAATTCTCTCGGAGAAGAACATCTTCTCGGCACCCGTGAAGATCCCAGACGCCGACGCCAAGGAGCGCTGGTCCGAGCGTTACTTGGGGATGGTGGACTACTCGGTGATCATCCTCTGGGTGCTGGAAAAGGCCGAGCTTGCTGCCACCGCTCTAGCCTCCGGCTCGGCAGCAGCGGCTGGAATGGGAGCCGGCGCTGTTGGAGCTCTCGGAGCTCTGGCACTCGGAGCCACAGGACCCGGAGTTGTCGTGGGACTCACTGCTGCTGCCGTGGGTGCCGCCATAGCTGGTGGTGTGGCTGCGGACAAAGGACCTGGAAAGAATGCTTCCACTGCGGCGGACTCTCTCGGCGAGGATTTCTTCCGGGTCATTCTCAACGAAGAGCCTTTCAAGTCCACCAAGGTAACGTAGTATGTCTTCCACCAGCTTATCTTTTGTATCTCCTTCGTTTTTGCTCTGCAGGTCTGGGAGATCACGAAGTCGTTTCGATGGGCTCCGTTTCTTCCCGTGCAACCGGACGACACCATGCTGACGGTTCTGTTGCTGCTGTCCAAGTTTCGGCTCCGGAGCATCCCGATCGTGGACAAGGACCAGCCGACGGTGAAGAACTTGATAACTCAGTCGGCTGTTGTCAAGGGCCTGGCGATGTGCCGCGGACGTGACTGGTTCGACTTCATTGCCGACAAGAGTATCTTTCAACTGGGACTGCCTCGCATGACCCCGGACCAGGTTTGTCTTTCTCCATCTCTTCCTCATGTCTCTAACGCGGCTCCCACAGGTGGTGTCGATTGATGCAGACAAGTTGGTACTCGACGCCTTCGTGCTCATGCGCGAGAAGAACGTTGGCGGTCTGCCGGTCGTGAAAGGCGAGCAGAAGGAACTGGTTGGAAACATCAGCATGCGGGACATCCGGTTCTTGTTGCTTCAACCCGAGCTTTGTTCCAGGCGGAGGTAACCACAGATTTTCTTCTAGTTGACGAAGTAGTAACTCGCTTTTTCTTTACTGCGCAGGGAGTTGACGGTGTATGATTTCATGCACAGCGCCAAGTCGTCCACTCACGACCCCCATCCAGCGCTGATGATGCCGCCGATAACTTGCGAGGAGAGCACCAGCCTGGGCGAGGTGATCGACGTGCTCTCCACAAAAGGCATCCACCGCATCCACATCGTGGACGACAAGCAACGCATCGTGGGTGTGGTGACTTTGCGCGACATCATCTCCTGCTTCGTGACGGAGCCCGACAACTACTTCAATAACTTTGGCAGCGTCCTTGCGAGTAGCATCGCCGAGGCTACTACGTGAGATGTCGGCTGGGCAACTTCCTCGCTTTGTTTCTTCTTCCGGACTTCTTTCGGCTGGTGAGTGCGTAGTCCCCACTGGTAGTCCGGTTCTCAATCATCTTCCAGTTACAGGGCGTGACTGCCAAAGCAAAAGATTAAAAAAAAATCTAGAGAGCTTGCTTTTGAAAGTACCTTCTTGATCCTCCATGTAAGTTCACGAGAAACTTGCGGTTGATACAAGAATTGTTGTCTCTTTCATATCTCGCTCCGGTTGGTCTTGTCGAAACTGGTTGGAACTAAGAACAAAAGAGGATGGGCCAGCCTTGTCAATCACAAAAAAGTAGTCTTGCCTCGCTCTCACTTCGATCGCTTCGATGTCGAGGGCGGTGGAAGTATCCAGGCCACTGCTAAAACCGACTAAAACCATTGTTGGTAGTTTGTTCTTTCTTCCGGCTCACGGGAACACTGTGTTGTCTCGCCTTGCGGATTACTCTCGTCTTTGTTTTCGCTATAAAACTCCGCTGAGCTCGGCTAGTGCTCGTCCATCCATCGCCCACCTTTGAATATCACGAACACGAGTTGTGAGTGACACCAGCGAGGCAAATCGATTCAACACCCACCTAGAGAGAGAGACCCGGGAGTGTCGGAGATATATTTTTCCAAAGCGAAAGAAGAACTTGTCTTCAACGCTTACCTGTGTAAGGAAGCTCTCACGAATCGATCTTATTTGCGTGAGTCTATCTTCGTCTTCTTGGCCGCGTGGTCTCCTCTCGCTCCCTCTGTGTGTCCGTAAGCAAGTTAAAGAAAAGCTATGGCAGTTGAAGGATTGACCTTTGATTATTGACCGTCCACTGCGAGCTGTCCTCGTATTAAAGTTTCTCTCTCGCCTTCCTGGCTGCTACCACCGACCTTCCTTACACTACATTTTCTGAAAAGCCTGCGCGAGAAAGAGAGTTAGCCGGGTGATCGAGCAAAGCAAAGGCAAGCCAGCTTACAAAAGATATAGTTTTTGACGATGGAAATATATACTGATTGACCGCTGCTGTTCTCTCGATTCCTGTAGCTCAAAGGAATTAATCCACGGCGACGCAAGAGAGTGTTCAGTGTCTACCTTTATATATGATCTCTCTTTCTCGTCTATCCCTCCCTCCATCTTGTTCCGGGGCCGCATAGTTGATTGCGACTCCAAATTCTCTTTCACCTTTCACTCGGTAAGTGGATTCGTCGACGTGTGAGCGAGCCTCGCTCCACTCCGGGAGCACTCATGCGCACGAACTGATATATGGCACGCCAGCGAACATTCGCACCAATCTGCAAGGTGCACTTCGGGCTTTGCGAGTCAAACAAGGATAGCGGGATCGTCTAGAAAAACTTACGCTCTCTTCGAGGTAAGAGACAAGCCCCTTTGTCTGCGGCTCTCCAGCCTATCTCACTCGCTACTCAGCAGGCCGAGCTAGCTAGCCTGCATCGAAAAACAAGGAGCACGATGAATCACATGACGAGATGGTTCGCTACGCTGCTGGGAATGTTTACCGTCAAGAGAATTTCTAGCAAGGAGTTAGCAGACTCGGAGGATTCGCTCGACAGGTCTGGCTCGCTCTCTGGCAGCGAAGGATGTTTAACTCCAAGGGCCTTGGCCAAGCTCAAGTGGTTGTCAAAGCGCAAGGAAGCCAAGCGCAAAGCTGCTCTTTTGCGCGTGGAGCAGCAGTACAGGAAGCAGGACGATATGTTCTGGGAGAACACGGGAGCCGTGTGGCAGAGAACGATTCTCACGGGCGAGAAGTGCGAGCCTCCGGATTTCTCTGGCCTCATCCTGTATGACGAGAGAGGAAATAGAGTGCCCGAGTATCCTGCAAAGTCACCCAGAGCAGGATCAGGAGCGGGATCACTCTTCTAGGAGGTAAGCTACCTGCTGTAATGTCTCGGTTTCAGTTTCATATGATTTAACTGGACTCTTCTCGCAGGTACTCGACTCCTGCAAACACCAAAGGATTAAAACAAAGATCAAGCACTAGTTTTAGCTACCTGTAGTTGCAGCTCAGAAGAGAGTGCGTCTTCCCAGTCTGTTCTCGAAGTCAAGAGTCTGACTAGTTCAGCTATCCAATATTGAAAGTCCAAGTTCGGCTTACGGGATGTTTGGATGATCCATCAGCTACTCCGCTGAAGAGCCCACCATACAGCCTGCCCTCGTTGAATCTTCACTTAGCTCTTTGAGCCAGTTTCCTGAGTTCTTCGATTAGACCCGCGATCATCGGAGGCTTAAGTCCCATCGGTAAAGATAGTTTAGACCTTACACGCGATTCATCTTTGTTTGCGTTTCTTGACTGCAAATTCAGAGAAAACAAGTCGGTGCTTAAAAACAACACATACATGCTTTGCAGGTGGACCCGTTGTCTGCCATGCGGAAATGGAATTCTGCAAAAACTAGAATCAGGCACCCATACTGAAAAGGAACTCTACGAGTACCTGGTGCAAAGGCTTTGGAGGTGGCCAACCTTGAGCAGGGAGTCCCCATACATGGCCAGGCACGTAGAAGGAATGGATGGAGAAGGTTGGATGTGTAGACAATCGCGTTTATTCAGCGGCTCTAAGCTTGAGCACTTCTGTTTCGATTCAGCGCGCTTGCGCTTCCTCTGAGCACGATACTTCTGAAAATAGTGTTTACACAAGCATACAATGATGTTCTTGTACCTGTAAGTGACTGGCAACATTATGGCGTGTGAGGGACTCAACACCCATGATTTCCAGAATTCGAGATGGAATCGCTTTCTCCAAGCCGAGTTCCTCTACAGTTTGAACAAACAACCGGTGAAGATCTGGGTTCCAATCAACCTGAGAAGAAACATCGTCAAGTGCATAAGAGAGAAGAGGCGTTCTTACCTTTGTTTTTTTCGTTGTTAAAGATCGTTCTTTTTTGCGACAGTTTTCTACACGTTGCATGTGTTGCTCTTGTTGAGCGGCATCGACGGTTCCGCTATGGTCAGATGCTGACCTTTGTATGGACTCCAGCTCGTCATCCAGCGTCACTTCGTCATTGCTAGAAGTCAGCTGACCATTCACGCTCTCGCCAGCATACGATTTTATTTCCCATTGCTTCTTCTCATACATGACAATCAGCCTCACGAGTAAAAACTCCAAAACACTACCTGAGATATTGTTACTTTGAGATGTAACTAGAGTGGGAATGCTGTCAGATGTTGCGTTAGATGATTGTTCTAGTTGTGTCTTGGATTGATCTTCAGTTGTAGAAGTATGTTTTGTAGAGATTGTTGGTTCATCGATTGGATGAAGATGGACTCGGCTCTGCTCCTTCAAAGCCTGGAAATTTACTTAGCTGATTGAAGAAACAAAACATACATTTTGTACCTTTCTTGCTACATGCTGCCAAAGATTTTTGAGTGTTTCGTCGTCAATAGTTCGTTTTCAAAGAAAGCCAGCAGCACCAGCCTGTTTAAAAAACTTTGCGATAGGAAAATCCACTTTCAGAAACATAAACCTTACAGCAATGCCTTGCATCGTGATCGCCATATCCTCTATGCTAGAAACCACTGCCAAATGCTTAAAACTCACAAATTATAGGTACACATCGTGGTGTAGAGAGGATTTCAAGGCCTTTGATGTTCTTGCTCCCCAGCAAAGCTGTATGAAACGAGCATGGCTCCATTTGTAATGCTTCACGAACAGAGTCTCCATTCACAAACGTTGTCACTGCCAACATTGTAAAGAAAATTCCCAGAGAGCTCTTAAACGATCGATCTTACCGCAGTAGTGAAAGATCTCGAGCTTAAGCTTGATCTCTCCCAGAAAATGAGGATCATCGTCCGCAGCAAGGACGCGACAAACTCGAGGAAAGCCCTTCCACAGGATTTTCCCTACAAAACGCAACGATCAGATCGATCCAGACCGCAAGAATGCCGCCCGGCAGCCGATCCAGAGGATTGCGCAAGAATCCGCCACTGGGCATAGGTTCCAAAATCTAAACCCTGAGCTAAATCACGGCCACGAAAGGTATCGAACCGCGGACGCGTCTCCGATGCCGTCCGTGTTAGGGCAAATCAATCGGACGGCTTTCCACGCCTAGGGTTTAGAGGGTCTTCGCATTTGGGCGGCTGCGGGAGAAAGAGGCGAGGCGCGGCGCGATGAAGTTCCGGGTAAGAATTCGCAGCTCGAGCGCTCGATCCATCGATTGATCCCTCCCATTGTCTCGCAGTTTCATCAGTACCAGGTGGTCGGGAGAGCTACTCCCACTCCCGACAATGAGCACCCAAAGATGTACCGGATGAAGCTCTGGGCCGGCGACGAAGTGCGCGCCAAGTCCAAATTCTGGTGAGTGGAGTCGATTGGATCGATCGATCCATTTCCATTTTCTCTCGATTTACCTTTCTTTCACTCTAGGTACTTCCTTCGCAAGCTCAAGAAGGTGAAGAAGTCTCACGGCCAGATCCTCGCTATCAACGAGGTAAAGTTCTTTCTTTTTCTTTCTTTTCTCGAGCCTTACAAGTGAGAACTTTGGAACTTCGTGACACAGATTTTCGAGAAGAACCCGACCACGATCAAGAACTATGGCATCTGGGTGAGGTACCAGAGCCGGACGGGGTACCACAACATGTACAAGGAGTACCGCGACATCACCTTGAACGGCGCGGTGGAGCAAATGTATGACGAGATGGCGTCGCGGCACCGCGTCCGATTCCCCTGCATCCAGATCATCAAGACGGCGAGCGTCCCGGACAGTGCTTGCAAGCGCGAGAACACCAAGCAGTTCCACAGCTCGGAGATCAAGTTCCCGCTCATGAACCGGAAGATCCGCGCGCCCAGCCGGAAGCTCAAGACGACGTTCAAGGCCAAGAGGCCAAACACTTTTGCCTAGACGCGCGCGAGAGAGAAAGGTTTGCACGATCTTGTTTGTGCTGATCAAAGCCTGCGAGGTTTTCTTTTGTCTTTCCACCCAAGAACTTCAATGAAGGGACTATGATCTTTCAGCCATCTTGTACTACAGATTAAGAGCATTGAGTGAAGATGGAACAAGTCAAAGTTTGTGGGGTTTGGAAGAATAAAGTTGAAAATGACGGTGAGCTTTTTGCCTGTTTGGATCTGATTTCGATATTTTTACAAAGTAAAACCTTAGAACGTAGTGTTGATCTTGAGTGATTTTGTGGTGTTCTTGTTTGTTGCATGAAGTAGAAAAGTACCAAGATTTTTTGTTTTTTTATCCTTGATCTTGATGGATGATTTTTTGGTACCACGCAACAGCTTTTTTTCCATTTTTGTTTCTTCCCAATCTACAAAGGTACAATGATCTATCAATGCAAGCTAACTATTCCATCAATCTCACGCAAAACTCTCCACAGCCGGCTTGGACCACATCACCAGCAATCTCTCCAAGCCTCCTCCATTCTTCCCGAGCTTTTGATCTCCAGAGCTCTTGAGCAGCGATCCTTGATCCTGGCGATGGATCGTCTCTCGCGGGCGATCCCCATTGCTGGCGTAGAGCTCGAGCTTCGCCTGCGCCTCCTCCAGTCTCCGCTCCACCGCCGCAAATTCCTCCGCCAAGCGCTGGAGATCTCGCGAGTGAGCCGATCGCTCCATCTCCAATTGCTCCTTGTGGGCTCGGCTCTGCTCCATGTACTCCACCTCCAGCTGCCCCAGCTGCGCGCACAGACGCTCCTCCGCCTCCTCCAGCTTCCGCTCCTCGATCCTCATGAGATCGATCTTCTTCCACAGCGATTCCTCGCGCGCCCTGCTCGATGCCAGCGCCCTCTCCAGCTTCTGATTCCTCTCCGCCACCGATCGCAGCTCTTCCGTGAGCGCGATCTCTCTCTCTGCCATTGCCATTTCGCTCTGCGATGGAATCGATGTGTAAGAATAGCAGAGTTTCTACGCGCAAACCAAGGTCCTATTTATTGGGAACCAACCTGAGATCTTCCGTTCTGGAAAACGCGCGCGTTCAACGGTCCTGATTGACTGGAGAAGTTTCGCGCCACAAGCCAGTCTAGGTTCAATGAACCTTCTTGTTTACCAAACTTTAACTGGGTAAAGAATGTGATTTCATCTCTCTCGATTGTCAACCTTGCGTTGCATTTGGGGCTCCCGCTTTGCCACGTCAGCGGCCCAGGATTTTAGGGTTTGCCGTGGCGAGCAGCGCCAATGCCGCGCTAGGGCGGGCGGCGAGCTCACATTCTTGTGGACGCGCGCTGGACTGCGGTGGCGATGCAGCAGCAGATAGAATTCGCGATTCATCCATGTAAGTTTTGGGGGGATTTCTGGAAATTATATAGCTGCTCCGCTGTTCAGGCGAGAGACCACGGCAGTGGAATCGCATTGGTGAGGTGTCTTGCAGGCGTCAGGCAAAGGCCGGGTATGTGTTCTTCCAAAGCGTGAACTGTGCCTCGCGTGTATTGAAAGCTTCTTCTTCTTTGGATTGTGACTGTGTCCTTGCCACGTTTGTTTGAGTTTTGTTTCTTCCGATGGTATTGATGAATTCTTTTTGTGGATCTATAGGCCAAGTGTGCTGATCTTGGGAGACCACGCATGCAAATACGGATCTTTGTCTCAAGCTTCCAGACGGTCACAAAAGAGCGCATGGAAGCTTATGACGAAGGCAACTGTGGATGTGGGACCTTTGATGAGTGAAACTCGGCAACCTTTGGCGCTCCCACAGGACGAGAAAGTGGGAGTTTTGCTTCTGAACCTTGGAGGACCCGACTCCCTCGAAGACGTGCAACCCTTTCTTTTTAATCTTTTCTCCGATCCTGTGAGTTTAACATCTTTCTCTTTTCATTTGTTTTACTTCCCTTTGTGTTTCCTTGATTTTATTTTCGCGTACTTTCTAACAACATTAAGTATTTCAGGACATCATCCGGCTGCCTCGACTGTTTCGGTTCCTCCAGAAACCACTTGCGGAGTTTATTTCGGCAGCTCGGGCTCCCAAGAGTGCCGAAGGATATGCGTCTATCGGTGGAGGTTCTCCGTTGAGAAGAATAACTGAAGAACAGGCAAGGCTTGATCCACGCATTCTTTTAGTTACAGTATTTAGTTTCTCACAGGCCAGGGCTCTCCAAAAATCTTTGGAGACCAAGCATTTGCCTGCAACGGTATATGTTGGGATGCGATACTGGCATCCTTTCACGGAAGAAGCCATTGAACAGGTTAGCCGAAATTCTTCTTATATATCTCGTTTAAATTGTAGCTTATGTGCAGATAAAGAAGGATAGAATAACGAGGCTTGTCGTTCTACCACTCTACCCGCAGTTTTCCATTTCCACAAGCGGTTCGAGTTTGCGCCTTCTAGAAAGCATCTTTAGGTACCACGATCGTTGCTCGTAGTTTGAGGCTTAACTTGATTGCAGGTCGGATGAGTATTTAGTCAACATGCAACACACTGTTATTCCTTCGTGGTACCAGAGGGAAGGATATGTAAAAGCTATGGCGTCTCTCATAGAAAAGGAGTTTTCCAAGTTTCCGAATCCTGAGGACGTAAGGGAGCTCTTTGCTTGCGTTCTCAAAGTTTTACGTTTCTGCTTGCAGGTCCATATCTTTTTTAGTGCTCATGGAGTTCCGGTGGCGTATGTAGAAGAAGCCGGGGATCCATACAAAGCGGAAATGGAAGAATGTGTCGACTTGATCATGTCTGAGTTGCGGAGCAGGGGTGTGAAGAACGTTCACTCCTTGGCATATCAGGTATTTATCTCACTTTGATGTTTCTCTTTTGTTTTTCATTTTGTGGTTGTTTTCATATACCAGAGCCGCGTTGGTCCTGTCGAATGGCTAAAGCCATACACAGATGTGAAGATAAAAGAGCTTGGTCAGAACGGTATTAAGAGCCTTTTGGCAGTTCCAATCAGGTTTGTATAAATCTTTTGTGAACAAGAAAGACCAACTTTTCTTGCAATGCATGCAGTTTTGTCAGCGAGCACATCGAGACATTGGAGGAGATCGACATGGAATACAAAGAGCTTGCGCTGGAGTCGGGAATAGTCCACTGGGGTCGAGTTCCGGCGCTCAACTGCGATTCCACATTCATCACAGACTTGGCAGACGCAGTGATCGAAGCACTACCTTACGTCGGAGCAATGGCTGTATCGAACTTGGAAGCGCGACAGGTTTGCTACTCCTTATAAGTTTGTTCTCAGTTTTCATCTCGCTCTCTCTCTCTCTCTCTCTCTCTCTCAGGCGCTCGTTCCTCTCGGAAGCGTAGGAGAGTTACTCGCAACGTATGATACACAACGGAGGGAACTTCCAGCTCCAGTAGCAGTCTGGGAATGGGGCTGGACAAAGAGCGCCGAGACTTGGAACGGAAGGGTGGCGATGCTAGCAGTCCTTGTGCTGCTCGTCCTGGAGATAGCGTCGGGGAAAGGCCTGCTACACCAGTGGGGGATCTTGCCATCGTAGATAAGTGGTAGAACCAGGAAGCTCGGGGTTCTGGACTAGCTTGTATATAATAGAGAATCATCCGGGGTTTATAGCGGCAGAGAAGCAAAGAAGATGGTCCGGGTCTCACTCTCCAGGCTTTTACACTTTCGATCGCTGCTGCGAGCTGTGGCTGGTGACTACAAAGAGGGAAGCTTGTCCGAGGCTGTGGAATTCATCGCGAGATCCGATCGAGGGAGCAGCAAGGATGCTTACTACTTCCTCCTGCGACGATGTATCAAAGAGAAAGGTCTCGAGGAGGGCCGCCGGCTCCAGGGACTGATCAGAAAGAGGCGATACGACCACGATGGCTTCCTGGGCAATCTCCTGATCAAGCTCTTCGGCGTTTGCAACAGCACCGAGGAAGCGCGCTACGCGTATGACACTCTGCCGACTAGTAACAGCATGATTGCGCTCAACAACATGCTGGAGGCTTACATTGTGAACGGGAGGATCGAGGAGGCCAGGGAGTTCTTCGATGGTGCTGCGAAGAGGGACGTCAAGACTTGGAACATCATGCTCTCGGCGTATACCCAGAGAGGGCTCATGGACGAGGCCAAGGAGCTGTTCAAGCTGGCGAAGGATCCGGCAGTGGACCTCTGGGTGACGATGATCGAGGGGTATGCGCGTGCCGGGATGCCGCAGAGGGCGTTCACGATCTTCCGAGCTTCGCCCGGGCACGAGAGAGTGTGGGGAGCTATGATCGCAGCATTTGCCGAGAGCGGGGATCTTGCGACGGCGAAGGAGATGGTGCACAGGATGAAGAACCCGAGTGTGGCTTCTTGCACGCCGCTGTTCGAGGCTTACCTCAAGGCTGGAGAGATCAGCGACGCGCAGGACGTGTTCAACAAGATGTCTACTTCGTACGAGGCTCCGTGGACGACGCTGCTCATGGCTTACCTCGATCGGGCGATGTTCTCTGAAGCGAAGCGCATCTTCAAGCTCATGCCCAACAGGGATCCGGTCGCGTGGAACGCGATGATCCGTGCTCACTCTTTGCATGGAGAGATCGAGGAGGCTAGGATTCTGTTCGAGGGAATGGGAGCGCAGCGGAACTTGGAGTCGTGGAACACGATCATGGCGGCCTACAACAGGAACGGACAGGCAGGGGACACGTACAAGATCTTCAAGGGGATGATCCAGAGATATGTCAAGCCGGACAAGAACTCGTTCCTCACGGTCATGGAGTCGTGCACCAATTTGGACGATGCTGGGAAGATTGCGAAGGAGTTTCGGTGGAGCTCTTGCCTCAGAGATCTGGAGCTGAACAACTTGCTTCTCAAGACGTTCTTGAGGCTGGGGTCTCTCGAGGAGGCAACCTCGGTTTTCCATTCGATAGAGGAGAAGAACTTGGAGTCGTGGAGTTTGATGGTGTCTGGATTGGCCACGAAGGGGAAGTATGCAGCGGCTGTGAGTTTGCTCTCCAACATGGTGCTCAGGGGTGTGATGCCGGACAACGGCATCTTTACGAGCATGGTATCCGCGTGCAGGTCTCTAGGCCGGACTGACGAAGCTGCAAGCTATCTCCGATCCATGGTCGCAGACTTTGAGGTGTATCCGGTCCTGGAAGATTATCTCTGTGTGATGGAGCTTCTCAAGCCCAAGCAAGCGGAAGAGCTGCTCAACTGCATGCCTTTCGAGCCGGACTACGACGTGTGGAAGACTTTTCTTGGGGTTTGCCAGAGGGCCGGGGACAAGGAGCTCACTGAGATGGCCGAGAAAGCTCTGCGACGGCTGTGTCCTATCGCAGTCTGTGTATGATATGGTTTCCGCCCTCGAGATTGCCAAGATCTATGCGAGAGCTCCCCCGCCCGGTGAACCCGATGCCTCGGCCCGGGGCGTTTTGCGCATCGATCGCCGATCCGCCCACGCTCTTTCGCAATTGCTCCAATGCTCATGACGTTATATCTGTACGGGTTTTCTTGGTCGTCCCAAGTTCATTATATTAAAGGGCTCCTTGGCTTCTTCAAGATGCTCGAAATTACGATCTTGATCATCACATTCAATTGTGGACAGCGCATCAACTGTGGCCGGATTTATTCTCAATAGATATCGCTTTCACAGCAGACATAAGCATAAACAAAGATTTCGTCCCAAAGGCTCTCTCTTCGACTGTATACATTGTGTACTTACGGAGCCAACTTGTTCAAGACGGGCTCCAAATCCTCGAGCTCCGCAGCAGCATGATCCTTGAATTCCTTCACCCGGATCTCGTGCAGAGCACGGAGTCTCCGCGGGTTTTCCAGCACTTGCTCTTCCGGCAGCACATCTCCAACCCTCGCCCTCTTGAAAGGATTTGGCTTGATCCTCTCCTCCCCTTACTCGAGCCCGGAACGCAGAACGCTTGAGGAAGGTGGTGGAGGCGAGGATGGAACACGGTCAGCACTGGAATCCATAGCCACCGCAACGATGCTCGGAGAAAAAGAACTTAATAGCCTCCAACTTAAGTGCGTCCGGTCGATGAGCAATCCAGCCACCTTGCCGATGAGCTCTTCGTCCCCGAACCAGAACACATTCTCCACAAAATCCCTGGCCACGGGAATCACACTGGAATGGTAGCCACTCGCCAGCCGATTATACTCATCTCGAGCGCGCTCTTCTGCAAAATCGAAGTGCTCTTCCGGAGAACCAAATTTAAAGTGCTCAGTCGTGGAATCGAAGTCTGGTCGAGGAGCATTTGCCTGCAAGTAAGAAGCATACAACCCAGCAACACAAGGCTGTTACTGCGCCATTCTCTTTCACGCCTAGCAAACCGGCCGTGCTTCTTATCACTGTCAATGCATTATTCATCACCTTCTTCTTCACCCAGAATACGGACTTTGTAGTGTTCATCGATAACTTTCCCCATGAAACCATGAACGGCAGTACTAGCATTTCATTGTAGCTGCCTTTGTGGTCCAGTCTGAGTTCCTCTTCCAGATCCACCAGCAGCTGCTTTTCCACCTTGCTTGCGAGCTGCAGCAAGCCATACGCCGCAAGCTTTGAGATCAACTTCACGACACTTAAATTTCTTGTTTCGTTCGTCGGTTCTTTACGAGAAACGATTTCTGAAGCTGTAAGATTGTGTAAACACCAATTTGAAATACTATATACTGTCCATGAACGTTGAAGATGGTTGCACCACGATGGACGTTTTAGCCTGAGTTTCTCTTGCTTCCAAATCCGTTGATGTTAGCTTGTCCACTCGAGCCTCTACGAGTTGGCGGTACTTGTGGCTGCGATGCACTGCCAATGCAACGCACTCCAGCGGGGCTTCTGAGACGATCTCCGGGGAGTGTCGAGAAAGAATTCTAACAGCTTCCCTAAATTGTCAGGATATTCCTTGACAGATTTCATGAGCATTCTCGCCAGCTCGATCGCTCCATGCTCATACGCTGCGGACTTGAGCTTGCCCACCAAATTCTCATCTCCATGATCAAACATCTCGTCCTTCCCGAGGCACAAGTCCAAAACCAGTTCAGGCTAGTTCACCAGCAATTTGTGCACCTCTTCCTTTGCATTCTCAACAGTGGCAGCGTCTTTCACGAGCCCAACCACAATCGTGCTGTGGACGGGACTCAAACAATTCGAGAGAATAACCACACAGCGTTTGCTCTTGGGCGAGGCCACCAGCACTGCTACGTGATAGAAGTACTCGGAAATTCCCGTCGTTCCCCCCGGTAGCCTTCATTGTCAAATTTTTCCTTATCGTAGAAGTTGTTAAACGGCTCTTACCACCAGCGCATCTCAATACGTCTTCTTCAACATTGATCTGACATCTTCCAAATTCCACACAGTGATCCTCGGTTGAGACCCAGTTCTCGATCCAGTGCTCGTCATCAATATCACATCATCATCGACCTTTTCAAGCTTGGTAAGCGTGCAGAGATGGAGGTCCGGGAAATCACACCCCCGGATCGAAGTGCAGCCACCACGCGGTCGTGTCCCTTAAGCCCAGAAAAGCGCAAGCTCTTGCTCGAGTACTTGTGGCAGAGCGGGATCACCATCTTTGCTCGAAGACCTTCACAGCGGGAGGGCATCAAAGACTGGACGCGGGGCAGTGATGATATGTAAAAAGCACTATCATCCACACCCAGGAACTTGGTGTTCTTCCTCACCAAACAAAACACCAGGCACAGCCTCGATCCACTCGTCACCTCGTCAAGCTTATGCTCGCAATCACAAAAAAAAAAGTGGTGTAGAAGTAGCCGCTGGGGGATTGGAATTCGAAGGCCTTGGAACAGCCCAAGTGCTGGACGGTGAGACCTCATGCGCATCATCAATCAAGCTCATGCTCAGGATCCGGTCGCGTGGAACGCGATGATCCAGGCTCACCCCTTTGATGGAGAATCTTGGAGTCCTGGAACAATAGGAACGGACAGGACAACGACATCTTTACGAGCATGGTACGATCGCTGGTCGCAGACCTCAATGTGGATCCGGTCCTGGAAGATTACCTGTGCGTGATGCAGCTTCTCAAGCCCAAGCAAGTGGAAGAGCTACTGCTCTCCGACGGCTGTATATCGCAGTCAGAGAATATGATTTCCTGATGGTACACGAACCGAAAGAAACTTCTAAACTTCTTACGATTTTTCTTCCAGCAATCTAAAACCGAGATCCATGTTGTTGTGATATCCCCATCTTGCAATCCCATCCAAACTTTGATTGTTTTTGCGCTCGAAAACCAGCTTCCCCAACACATATTATATGCACTCGTGGACGTTGCCGATTGCCGGCTACGAGGAGAATCTCAAAGAAAACTTTCCACAAGAAGATATTTCCTTCATTTGTTTCATACTCTAAACAGAAACACCATCCATCAAACTCGAAAAAGCCCGTGTGTGATTTCACGGAGGAGAAAATGCGAAAGGATCAAGATGCCAAACAAACATGACCGTAAATCGTAAAACCAACATATCAAGCTAGTTTTTACTGCCTTACGGAACCAGCTTGTTCAAGACGAGCCCCAAATCATTGAGCTCGGCGGCAGCATGATCTTTGAATTCCTCCACGCGGATCTCCCACAGAGCACGGAGCCTCCGCGGATTTTCCAGCACTTGATCCTCCGGCAGCACACCTCCAATCCTCGCCCTCCTGAATGGATTCGACGTCATCCTCTCCCCTCCATACTCGAGCCCGGAACGCAAGTGATCCATCCTCGCCTCCACCACATTCCTCAAAGCGTTCCTCTCGGCAGCAGTGGAATCCATAGCCACCGCAACAATACTCTGGGGAGGAATTTAGTAGCTTCGAAGTTAAGTGCGTCCGGTCCATGAGCAATCCGGCCACCTTGCCAATGAGCTCTTCGTCCCCAAACCACAACACATTCTCCACAAACTCCCTGGCCCTGGTAATCACACCGGAGTCGCAGACTGTTGCTAGCTGATTATACTCATCTCGAGCGTACTCTTCCGCAGCATTAAAGTGATCTTCTGCAGAACCGAAGTGGCTCTTTATGGAATGAAAGTATTTGTTGGTGGAACTAATTTCTTCTTGACCATTCTCTTGCAAGCCTGCTTGCAAGTAAGAAGCACACAGCCCAGCAAACAAGGCTCTCAGGGGGCCCCTCTCTTTCACACCGAGCAAAGTGGCCGCGCTCCTCATCAGTGACAATGCATCAATCAGTTCAAACATGATGCTCTCTTTTGTGAGAATGGTCTTTGCACTGTTCACAGACAATTTTCCCCATGAAACCATGAACAGCAGTACTTGTTACATGACACACCTTGCCACATAGACATTAGGGTTTTCCTGTTCTGTCCACTAGCGCGGTGTGCTTTGATCCCGACTTGTCTCATGGTATCGGAGCTAGGATAACACTATGGAAGGATCCATCTATGAGTTTGATGGAGAAGGGTTTGAGGGATTCAAGATCCATCTTGAATCTTATCTCTTGTTTCATGGGTTGTTGGGGATTGTAGATGGGATAGAGTCATCACCAGCTCTAGGCTCTGGCACTGTTGAGGTGCGTGATTGGAACCTTTGGGATTCCAAGGCTAGAGGGAGTATTGTGATGTGCTTGTCCTCAAATTTCCAAAATCCACTATAGCAAAGCTTTGGAAGTTGGCATGCCCAAATGCCACGGAATTTTGCTCTTTCTGGGCATTTGCAGCTATATGTGGTTTTGCCACCTTGGCATCACCAGAAGACTACGAAGCATACACAGCCTATGGCATTTGAGCTCTCTCGCTTTGCATGGCCTCAATATTGCGAAGACTCCTCATGGCATCTGCCCAAATCATCCCTAGTTGGAGAAGTAGGCTTTCAATTGCATTCTTCCAACTGTAAGTAACTAAAGGGAACGACTTGAAAAACAATCCATATAGAGGGAAAGGGCCCATGAATAAAAGTGCACTTTTTCTAATCGGTTAAGGGTTTTGGGATATTTGGTGGGTTTGAATAGTACTAGGCTGAGTGACCTCTCGGGAAGTCCAAACTCATGAGCTTACATCAGCTAGTTGGCAAAGACCTGTAAAGCTACAACCTCTACTACTCATCTGTGAGACAGTGCTTTGCCCCAGCAGCCGCAAGTTGTGTGAAGAAGCCCTGGAGCTTAGCAGTGAGTCTGGATGCTGCCAGTTTCCTCTAGCCTCAAGGAATCCATTTGTGAATGGATGTTGAAGACATCCATTGTAGTCGCAAGTTGTGTGAAGAAGCCCTAGAGCTTAGCAGTGTGAGTCTGGATGCTGCCAGTTTCCTCTAGCCTGAAGGAATCTATTTGTGAATGGATGTTGAAGACATCCATTTCACTCTTGGTGCCATAGGTGTTGCTCAGCTAGCCTAGACTTGCTAAGAATCAGTGTGCTCGTTGTTTGGAGATGGGCCACTGGGCTCAATATTGCCTTGCTCCCAAGCCTGTCAAGCGACTCAATCTGCTCGAGCGTGATGGAATCGCTACAGCAAATGAGGATGCTGAAGAGCTCTACAACGCAGAGGCAATTGCAGCACCAAGCCGGTGGCTCCTAGACTCTAGTTGTACTAATCTTATGGGCAATAAGAAGAGTCTTTTTGAGTGTTATCAACTGAGCATTGGAAAATATGGTGTTCATTTAGGTGACAATACCACTATCCCTATAGAAGGCATCAAACAATTTTGGCTCTCACTTGATCATGGGAGGACCATGGCCTTTGATGGTGCCATGCATGTTTCCACCTTGCGATGAAACTTAATGTCCGTCGCCAAAATATGTGATTAAAATGTAGTCTTTGATGAAAAGGGAGTTTCTTTGGTTGACTCTAGTGACTTTCATATGCTTGGTACACAATTGTTTCGTGGGTCACACATTAGGGACTTGTATGAGATTATTGCTACCAACCTGGTTTAGGCCTTTCAGACTATAGAGGCCGATTCTTGTGTGAAGCTTTGGCATAAGAGACTTGGTCATGTTCATCTTCAACAGATGAAATCCCAAGATATTGTTACTGGATTGGACTTTCAACGTATCCCATCTACATTTTGTGAAGCTTGCATTTTAGGCAAGCATCACCACCGGAATTTCTCACCGAGTAAGCATCAAGCACTTGGACTTCTAGATTTGGTCCATTCTGATCTTTGCGGCCCCATGGACGTGCCAAGTCACGATGGTGCAAGATATTTCTTCACATTCATTGATGATTATAGCCGTCGAACATGCATCCATTTCTTGATACGTAAGAGTGATGTAGTTGCTGCCTTTCAAATGTACAAGGCCTACGTTAAAAACATCCTTGGTTGAAAGATAAAAGCTCTTTGAGTTGATAGTGGTGGTGAATACCTCAACAATGAGCTTCGGGGCATCTGTCATGATGTAGGCATACGATTGCAAGCCACAGCCTGCTCCTAGCAAAATGGTGTTGCAGAAAGGAAGAATTGCACTCTTGTCAATGTTGCTTGCGCTTTGTTAGCTGATGCACATCTTGACAAGATGTTTTGGCAAGAGGCTATAGCCACCGCAATGCACGTACAAAATCACCTTGCCACAGTTGCTTTGGATGGAAAAACCCTTGAGGCATTTTGGATAGGTTCCACTCCTGATGTGTCCCACTTTTGGGTCTTCGGTTGTGCAGCATATGCACATACCCCTGATCAACTTCAGAAAAAGCTAGATCCCAAAAGTAAAAAATTCATCTTCGTGGGATATGCACAGGGCGATATTATCAGTAGAAAAGCTTACAAGTTGTTCTTGCATCTCTCTTGTAAGCATAGACGTCATGTTCAATGAAGATAACTTTCCCATGTGTACAGAGGCTCTTCAAGATCCTTCTTTCATTGCTGAGACTCAACTTGTTCCTTTGATCCCATTTATGGGAGATGGTCCACTCTTGCCTCTGCTTCAAGATCCTATTCCTGAGTTGCCACCAGAGATTCCACTGGGGAATCCTCCACTTCTGGACATGCTTGAACCAGCTGATGCTCCTCCAGTTGAGGATAGGCCTCCGACACCTCCACCACCTTGTCGCTGTCGTGGCATGCTTGATCTGATGCCAGTTCTTGATCACCCTTGGGAACGTCGGCCCTCGTTGAAAGTCCGGGAAAATGCTGAAGCAGATGCTGCAGAACTTGATGACATTTGTGGCCTTTTTTACGTCGGCATCCCCATGACCTATGATGAGGCCATCTCAGGACTTGAGGCTTCATCTTGGATGGAAGCTATTGTGGAAGAAGTTTCTTCCATTCAGGTTAACTGAACTTATGTTCCAGTTGATTTAGTGCCACTAGGATGACATGTCTTGGATCCAAAATGGATTTTTTCCAAGAAGTATGGGAAAAATGGTTAGGTTGTACATTATAAGGCACGGTTGGTTGTTCGCGGTTTTCACCAAGTCCATGGCCTTGACTACGATGAAACATTCTCACCGGTTGTAAAAATGGCTAGCCTCTATACTCTTTTTGCACTTGCAGCTGCTCGCAAATGGCAAGTCCACCATATGGACATCAAAACTACATTTTTGAATGGGGATTTGCAAGAGGACATCTATATGCATATACTTCCTGGTTTTGAGGATGATGTTGCCCTTGGTGGCCCTATATGGCAACTGCGGAAAGCTTTGTATGGCCTAAAATAGAGCTCCCGTATTTGGTATAAAAAATTTGATGCCACCCTACGTGCTCAAGGCTTTCATCGCTGTCATGCTGATCACAATGTGTATGTCAATGGTCATGCTGAGCACATGCTTATTGTGGCCCTCTCCATTGATGATTTGCTCATCATGGGTGATTACACCAATGCCATTGCTGCTCTAAAAGCTACTCTCAGCCAACAATTCCAGATGAAGGATCTTGGCCAAGTCTCCTACTTTCTTGGCTTTGAAGTCACACATGATCTTGAGTCCAGTGGCTACATGCTTAGCCAACAACGTAAAGTTGAAGTCTTGCTGGATTGGTTTGGTATGCATAATTGCCACCCCATCAAGACCCCGATGGTCGTTGGTGCTATCAACCTCATAGTTGAGTAGTCTGGTGAGCCTCTACCCACTGGGACTCCCTATCGGCATCTCATTGGTTGCCTCATATATTTGGCCCTAATGACTCGCCTCGACATCATATATATGACTATTGCCTTGAGTCAGTACAACACATCACCAACCACCATACATTGGCAAGCTGCCAAGTGTATTATGAGATACCTCCAAGGCACTATAGACTATGGCATTGCTTATTCAGGGGGTGATGCATCATTGACATGCTACACGGATGCTAATTTTGCCAACAACAAAGGTCATCGCTTGACTTCTGGCATTTGCCTTTCCTTCTCAGGAGGTGCCATCACGTGGGCCTCCAAGCAATAATCTATGGTGGCCCTTTCTAGTGCAGAAGCAGAGTACATTGCACTCACTACTAGTAGCAGGGATGTGGTCTGGGCTCAAGGGTTACTTGCTGAGCTGGGATGTTCACAAGCTAGCCCCACTACTTCTTGGTGTGACAACCGAAGCAGCATTGCCATGTCCAAGAACCCCGTCCACCATGCCTACTCAAAGCACATTGAAGTCCAATTTCACTACATGCATGAGTTGGTTGATGGTGGCACCTTGGCCGTCCAACATCTCAGGACACAGGACATGCCAGCCAATTTTCTCACCAAGCCATTGGGGCCACACCAGTTTCAGCTCCTACGCAACAGATTTGGTTTGGTGAGTGGCTTCAGTTTGGGGGGGAGTGTTACATGACACACCTCACCACGTAGACATTAGGGTTTTCCTGTTCTGTCCGCTAGCGCAGTGCGCTTTGATCCTGATTTGTCTCAGTACTAGCACCAGATTGTAGCGGCTACCGTATGCTTTGAGCTCCTCTTCCAGATCCATTGGCAGCTGATTCTCCACCTCGTTTGCAAGCTGCTTGGTAGTATCGAGTGAGCCATACTCCACAAGCTTGGAGATCAGCTTCACGACACTGGCCAGGAACTTTGCATGAACGTCGAAGATGGTTGCGTTCCGCTGTTCGACCAGGAGTTTGAGCTTCTCTGCTTGCAAATCCGTTGATATAAGCTTGTCCACTTGAGCATTGACAATCTGGCGGTACTCGCACTGCCAGTGCAAGGCACTCCAGTGGGGCCTCAGAGGCGATCTCCAAAGCCTCTGCTTTGCATGCTGGAGTGTCGAGGAAGAACTCCAATAGCTTCCCTAATTTGTCAGGATGTTTCTTGAGGGACTTGACATTTTTTATAAGCATTCTGGCCAGCTTGATCGCTCCATGCTCCCCTGAGTCCATAATTGTGACACAAGCCCAAAACCTTGGCTGTGAGGAGTTCAGGCTTCCACTTCACGAGCGCCACCACCAGTTTGTGCACCTCTTGCTTTGCATCCTCAGCAGTGGTGGCGTCTTTCAAGAGCCCGGGCACAACCATGCTGTGCTCGTCACTCGAACAACTCGAGAGAATTGCGTCATAGCGTTTGCTCTTTGGCCAGGCCACCAGCACAGCAACATGATAGAAGTGTTTGTAAATTCCATAGCCTTCCTTGTCAAAGCTTTCCTCGTCAGGGAATTTGTCAAATGGCTCTCGACTGTCACCACCAATGCATCTCAGTACGTCTCGTTCAATGTTGATTGGCCATCTTCCAAATTCCTTGCAGTGATCCTCGGTTGAAACCCAGTTCTCAATCCAGTGCTCATCATCATGCTTCCTATCATCATCATCAACGTGTTGGGGATCCTGCACAAGCTTGGTCAACGTGCAGAGATGAAGCTCCAGGAAATCACATCCCCCGCAAAGAGCAGCCACCACGCGGTCATGTCCCCTGAGCCCAGCAAAGCGCAAGCATTTGGTGGAGTACTTGTGGCAAAGTGGGATCACCATCTTTGCTCTAAAACCCTTGCTGCGGCTGGCCCATGCTTGCATCAAAGCCTGGACACGGGGCAGTGCTGAAGTGAAGAACACACTATCATCCACGCCCAAGAACCTGGTGTTCTTCCTTACCAAGCTGAAGACCAAGCACAGCCTCGATCCCCTTGTCACCTCGTCAAGCTTACGCTCGCAATGACAAAAAAAGGTGGTGTAGAAGTAGCCGCTAGTGGATTGGAATTCGAAGGCCTTGGAGCAGCTCAAGTGCCGGACAGTGAGACCTCCACCCCCATGGCCCGTCTGGGTAGGAAGCTGGATGACCATGGTCGCAAACATGCCAGCTTCCTTCTCCTTGTCGCTGTGAAGCTTGAAATGCCCACCTGGCTCATACAGTAGCATCTTGTACAGCTTCACGCCAAGCTCTAGGGATCCCGCGTGCACTCCCATGCTCGAGAGAGCGGCGGACGCTATGTCGTAGGCGGTCTTGGCGAGAAACTCTGGATTGTCGGGGAAAGAGATCTTGGAGGGATCAAGTTGCCAGGGCTGGCGGACGCTTGTATCGCCAAGAGTACGCTTGCCAATGCCGAATGGTGCTGGCTGTGAGACCGCCTTGAGCTTGTCAAGATCCTCGAGTGAGAGTGGGAGCCGGATGGCGCCACCCGCCATGCCCTCCACTGCCAGAGTGCGCAGCATGGGATGGAGCTGCACATCGATCTCACCTCCAGCGGCAAAAGCACTCGCCGATACGCCTTATGCAAAACACCAGTTTAAGTATTTAGGGCAAGGTTATTTATTTCATAACCCGATGACGCAGGAGCTTCTCAAGGCGCTTTGGCACCAACATCCCCGAGAGTGTGAGCACTTGAAACAGTATGGGCCTATCAGACCACACTTTAAGATTGACATCTCTGTTGCAAACGGGTTACTGCTGGCTTTCAACTTAACCTGCTCAGCTCACTTACGAGAGAATGCCGTCCAAGGCCACCCAGATGGAATTGAGGAGTCCTCTGCATGATCGTGTGGAGCCTCGGCAGAAAAAAATGGGTCTTGTGAGCACCAGGTTCAAGAGCTATGCGCGTATGACTTTGCCGACCAGCTATAGCATGATCGGGCTCTCTGCATTGTGAATGAGAAGCTCGAGGAAACCAGGGAGTTCTTTAATGGTGCCGGGAAGAGGGACGTCAAGACTTGGAACATCAGGCACTCGGAGTATACCCAGAGGGGGGTGGACAAGGTAACTGAGCTGTTCAAGCTGGTGAAGGATCCGGCTGTGGACCTCTGGGTGATGATGATCGAAGGTTATGCATGGGCCGGTATAGATCTTTAGATCTTCGCCTGGGCATGAGAGGTGGGGGCCATGATTGCAGTATTTGCCAAGGATCTTAAAACGAGCAAGACTATGGTGCACAGGATGAAAAACCCGAGTGTGGCTTCTTGCACTCGAGGCGTCGCTCGAGGCTTGCCCAAGACGTCCACCTTGTACGAGACTCCGTGGACAATGCTACTCATGGCTTACCTCGATCAGGCAATGACCTCTGAAGCGAAGCACATATTCAAGCTCATGCCCAACAGGAATTCGGTCGCATGGAACGGTGCTCACTCTTACATGGAGAGATCGAGTGCAGTGGGCCTACAACAGGAAAGGACAGGCAGGGGACACGTCAAGGGAACGATCCAGAGATATGTCAAGCCTGGGAAGAACTCGTTTCTTACAGTGCCAGGCAAATGGTGATTAGCACTCATGAGGTATGGCAGCTCATCACATTCTTGAGATCTATCTTCCCTCCCAAAATATCCTTTCCTAGCTAGAAACTGTTGAGGTATACGCTCTCTATGTCATGATCCTAGGTGGAAGTAATGCCACTCCACCGATCCAGGTGTAGGCTAGAGGCCATTTGGTTATGACGTTATATTCGACTATCCTTCCAGAGTCATCCTTGTCCATCTTAGCTTCCACATATCTCTTCATGGTATTAGAGCCCTGAGGGCTCCAGAGCCTGGGATGATGGTGTTGGCCAAGGAAGCCAGCGAGGATGAGGATGAGCCACCAGATGTGGCTGAGAGGTGCCAAAATTTGGTATTGCACTGCATTGAGCACCAAGATAACGGCACTAGTGAGCTGAGCAAGGTGCTAGGGCGTGATCAAGCAGAGACCGGCCCGGAGGTGCTGGCAAAGGGGCTGAGAGAGGGCTGGCTTGAGGCACTGAGCAGTACTGGAGCGCTGAGTGAGGTGCTGGTGTTAGAGATTGGCCTGAAGGCACTAGCAAAGGCATTGAGAGGAGGGTTGATCGAGGCTGAGATGATGGGAGCTTCAGCCGAGGATAGTGATAGATTAGAGTTATTCCTTGGTCCATCCTACTGAGAGGCAGCCATGGGACGATCCAGGAGGTAGAGAGCTGTGGGTTCCAGAAGGGTAAAGTTGTAAGTTCTTGAGAGGGGGACAAATTCCTGTTGTGGATACAACAGAGTGCTTCTCTCAATTTCCATTGGCTGGTTCAACTTTGACACTACTTGAACACTAACTTGAATCTTGCGCTTGAAATTTCCACTTCTAATCCTCATCAAGCCTTTATGATAGTATTGAGCAGTATCAGCTTGCACCAACCAAGGTCAGCCTAGAAGCAATGGATAAGTTAATTCGCCAAGTCTCATCCTAAGAACCACAAAATCCACATAAAAGTTCAACCCTGCTACATCTATCTTCACACCTGTAAGAACTCCCAACGGCTTCACTCGACTCTGATCTGCCATCTTAACATGGAAATTCACTGGTACAAGAACTCCTAA